ATATTTTGACTGCAGATTGTCCGACGCTACCATTAAAATTGAGGGCCATACTTACCACTGAGTAGCTAATTAAACAGTCTCAGTTATATAATTTTATGTTGACTGTGATGCCGGGTGCGTATAGACAGAACGAAAGCGAATCCAATTTTGCTCCTTCAGCGTAAAATAAATTTATGACCGAAGATGGCGGTAAAGCGGTTTTATTAACCCTGCGGATTAATATTACTACCACGCTTTAATGGGTTGTAAAACGGCCCGGGGGCGAGATACCGGCAAAAATTACTTTGTGGTTTAATTGCTTTTGTTTGGCGAAGTGTTGCATCGTAAACCGTACTTTCGGTTGTAACAGGAAACAATATAATATAAAAAAGCGGCCATGAGAGGCTCATAATTTTTTTATTTTTATATGTATTTTTAATTCAATATACTTAACTTCCCGAATTTTAAGTATAATTGCGATAAAGCTCTAGAGGTAATAAAAAATCTAGAAGCGTATTTAAATTATTATTTGTTTTTCTCAAAATAAATAAGAACTAAAAGTTCAGATTTTCACGAATTCATGACAATTGTTTCGACAACATCGTGTCTTTATCAAAATCATACATAATATATAATTTCGTGAAAATCTGAAGTTTTAGTTCTTATTTATTTTGATAAATGGATTTTCATCAAGTAAAAGCCACCTCAGTTCAATTTTTGTTTTTCTCGTATGAAAATTATTACTGATTTGCTACATTCATGATACAGTACTGCCACAGGGTAATAATAAAACAGAAACTGGATATTGGATTGTAACTTTACCTTCCGTACCCATCGAACATTAGAAGAGAATATTTCCGCCTAAGGTAAATTTGGAAAGTTGCAAACCACCTATAGTTGTACACTTAGATCAATCTATTACGGCATACTACTACTCTACTACTCGTATGATGTTCGTTAATGGGTGTCCTAGTTTTGAGTATTTAATTCTTCCCTATCTCGAGGCATAGACACAATATATATTCCGCTTCATGCATATTCTGCACTCATCATCATCCGAAAGGCCAATTTTGCGTATGTTGTATTTGAGGTTGCATTGTCCGATCCCTTTTGAGTCATTCTATTAATGTTTTGGTAGTCTTGGTAGCTAGGCGTCTATTGAAATTCTTGTCAATTGGCTAGAAACAGCCAACATGTGGTCCTACGTTCCCTTTCCCCGTCCGTCCTAGAAGGTTTGCCCTTTCGTTTCTCTCCAAGCCATAGTGTAATGTCACATGTAGGGTCGCATGATAAGGTTACCTCATTCTGATTCCCCAATGTAAACAGATCTTATATAGACAGCTATGTATGTAAGTGACCTTTATTTCTTGTATGCCTTGAAATCATCGGCAATTTGACTTCATCAAACTAACCAAACTTTTCAGGCTTCAAGATCTTGGTAATTCATTAATTTTTCTTTAATTAAAAACTCATATAAATGGTGTAAGTTTCTCATATATTTCAACCTGAACAAGTTATTGAAAAAATTCGCTCGTTGTCTAATGCTACTTATGGCTATATGGATACTCCTAATCTACACAGAAGTTCTTACATAGGAACAAGATGCTATTTTTCTTCTATAATTATTAATATTGTACCACCAAAAATATTGTGCATTTATTACTTTGAACAGAGCGTGGGCGACCTGGGTAGTGAATTTTCACACTCAAACCGGTATTCTCAAACATTCGAATCTATTTTCGGATGGTATCGTATTTCGGTGCCTTCCGTACATTAAATTCTGCACGAGATAAACGTTTAGCTGACACTATCGAATCACCATTGCGATAATAAGCGCGTATGCAAAAAGTACGATGGTCTCCCAGGGTCTCTTCCATGGTTCCCGAATCTCCAAATAATGGCGGAGCATACTATCCTTTCCGCCCCGCCGTTCCTCGGACAACGCCGATACAAATACGCCCCACCCTTTCTGGATATTTAATATTTTGTATGTTAATAATGACGCTATAAAGAAATGTAATGAAATAGAACGTAATAAATTGTTACTTTGTAGTAATTATCGGATGCACATCTTTCAAAAATTGCTCGGCGTAAAATATTGGAAACATAATTATATCCCGCTTGTTGATGCAGGTTGTTTTATAAGGGGCTCCGCCTTTGGAGTAATAAACAGTAGGCAAAGTTACTCACGGGGTCGGTTGTAAAAACACTATATTTCTGGTCGTGGTATACTATACAACCGAGCTACTTCCCTTCTTTTCATTCTTTTCATTATTCAATAAGTCATACTGTCTATGTATCCATGTTACCTTCTTCACGCAATTTCTGCTCCTTGCTACCTGCGTGGCTGTACACAGCTGTTTAATAATAATAATAATAATAACCTTTATTGTCTAACAGTTAACATCCATCTAGAAGAAAATTTCATCTTAAGAAATATAAACCATAACTATAATAAGTATTCAACTCTATTTACTACAGCAAAGTAATAGTAAAACATATGGTATTTCAAATTTATGTTTAATTAATGGGGTAAACTGTAAACTCGATAATCATCAAGTGATAGAGAGGACCTTTGATCAAAAAATTGGTTCTTGGAGTTACTAGGTGAAATACAGATCCTGCCCTGGCAGCCCTTGAAGAAATATGAAAGTTCAGCTGGCACAGCAACTCAGGGCAATCCACTAATGAATTGAAAATTTTATATAAAAACTGAAATGAAAGGTACCTCCTAGGATTCAACAATGAGGGAACCTTAAACATTAATAATAAATCACTTTGTGGCAGTCCGCTAGCCGGGTAGAAACAAACCATTTACATGAAAGTGAAGAAATTTCAGAAACTTTCTCTGTACGTTTTCAATTTGAGTGATGCACTGGCCAAATATTGGTTACCACACCGTTGAACTTTACTCTAGTTGCGAGCGCTCATAACTATAGTATAACAGTTATAAAGTATATCCCCTTGCAAAATCTCTCACTATGAATCCCAGCATTTTGAGTTCACCTAGACAGGCTTCATCGACGTGATTTCTGAAGGACAGTTTTGTGTCAGCTGATTTAGCTTAATTTTTTGATATTTTGTTGTTAATTTTTGGGTACATTTTCGCGTGACAACAGGAATATATTCATTGACCTATATACATGACAAGACAAAAATTCTTGGCGAAAGTACCGGGAACATCGGAAGTGACACGACAGAGTGGTTAATGAAGCTGATGTCTTAAAGTGACACTGCTCACGCTACATCAGTGTGTTTTTGAGTATTTTAGAATAGGGAGTAGAAAAAATTTTTTTTCATTGAAATTAACGTATTGATTGATTTAAGATTGATTTGATTGAAGGTTTTATAATCTTAATTGAGCTTAGATTTGTATGACAAATAAGGATTGATTCTGTATCTGAAAATTGAATATTTTGGAAGCCACTAATGAGAAGGGGCGGTCACAAAGAACCGTGTTGTGACGCGTTTTGCTATGTTAGATATTGTGATTTATGTCGCGATAATGAAAGATATTGGGGAGTATCACTCTGAAACAATTTGTACAAAGAGCAACATAAATTCAATTTCAGGCTGTCCTGTATAATATACATTTTAATATTATAAATATACATTTTAATATTATAAATGAAACTTATTTTCCACCAGTACGGAATTTACATTACATTGATTTGCACCGTGACTATGTAATACTGAGAATGTATATGGTATTGAAAAAGACAACAAAAATAAAATACCACGCGTATCGAAAATAAAGCCCCTTTAGCTTCACGTCGGTGTCAAACTAAACTGCAATTGTTGTAAAATTATTTTTTGTAGTCGATTGGTGGAAATTAAGTAAATTTCTGTGGAGAAAAAAATATACCCACTACAATAAACATGTGTTTATCAATGCGTCTTAGTTGGTTTCAAGCACGTTCCGTTTGGAGTAATAAAATTACAAATAGAACCAATTAACTACATCCGCGTGCGCCGTATAATTTCTACGGTGAAATCAAGAAACGGATATACGAGGTTGCTGTAAAGTAAATTGAATTAATTTCCACGTTACTAATGCGATCTAGCCTACTTCAAGCAAAATCGCCCGACATTTTAAAACCGTTTACGAAAATCTTGATGACATTTATTGATGGCGTGATTCGACTTAGCGTCTTCCTAGCCTTTCTTACTTGTTTGCCGGCCATTCAAAGGCAAGTTTACTTTATTTAGAATGTTTCAGCCTTGGTAATTTATTAATTGCTCTTTTATTATAAAACTTAAAGTTTCTGATACATTTACGCTTAAGCGGCTCATTAAAAAAATGAAGACATGCTAATCCAAACAGTTACTGTTAATGTATACTTAAACAAAATGTCTTTTATCATAGGGGCTAGGTGCTTATTTTATTTCAATAAATATTAATATATGACCTTCTAAAAGCCCTAAATCAGCTTTATTTTTTTTACCAGCTGCTTACTTCAAAACTACTTACTACAAAATAGCAAGAATGGCCTAAAATAGATTTATACTGTCATTATACTTCTCAGTATTTTATAGTTATTTCTACAGAGTAGCTCAATATTGCGCGATTATTTTATATTATATCCATAAAAAAATAAAAAAATTTCTCGTATCATACAGAGCGTGCAAGATAAACCTGGCTATGTTAATTTAGAAAATTGGCATATATATTGTAAGTTTGAAAAAAAATTTTTTTTTAGTTTTATATGGTTCATTTTAGGCCCAAAAAATTTTTTTTTCGAAAACCGTTTACCATTTTGGAACCAAGAAACGTGAGAGATCTAAGGCTATAACTTTTTTTTCAGTTACTTTTTCACTTATGTACAGAGTGTGTTATAGGCAATGAACTAAAAATACTAGTAAATTAAAATTTGCCGTGGTAAATATATAGAACAGTTTGGTTTTTACACTAGTGCATAAACGAAAGGCACTTTGCACAGGGTGTACGAGATAAAAAAAAATCTACTGATTTTGCGCAGGTTACATATTGTTATGCAGGAGCACGATAGATATAAGCCAATCAAAGTCCAGAGTTTTTTCTGGTTAGTATTGGTTTTGACAAAATTTTCCATAATTTTCGTTTTAATTACGTTACAGGAGTTAGGAGCTTCTGAAACTCTCCACTTAGATCACTTGATTTGAGATCCTTGGATTTTCAGTTCCGGAACGATAAATTATATTAATATTGTAGCATTGTAGCATTGTAACATTATATAGATGTAGAGTAAGCTATCCATAATACTGTACATTAATATCAGGTTGTTATATTTAAAAAAGACACATAACAGAATCCTGCAGCCGTGAGCTACCCTACCATAAATATAAACCATATTGTATAAATATTTGTTTAGCTTAAGGTGTCCTTATTTCCCTTTTCTCTAGTAATTTGTTGATGACTAGCTACTTTGTAGTTGATTTACATAAAAGACGCTCGTTTGCGGCTCATTAATAATCACTAAGTTATTAATTCAATTTTATTTTCATTAAATAAATCGAGTGGATTATACTACACCTCAACACGCATCGTTCAGGCTCCGTTAACAATGGTGCAAGATATAAAGCTGTATTGTTTACTTAAATTTTTCATTCTCGCTGCTGCTGCAAAATCGGTACATATTTTAACTAGCCATGAAAACGCGAATTTTTCTGCTAAGTTTAATCTTCATACACGCGAAGTCCAATACAGTCAATACGTTGCCATCTATAGATAAATGGGACTTCGGAAATGGTGTGGTTGTAAAATTTGACGGAAAGAAGAAGCAAGTTCCAATTATGGAACGTTTGTCCATCGATGTGGCCTTAGGTGATTATACTGTGAGTTGGGGCGGGGCGAAAAACAACGACGTTGAGCTTAAAATTGACGCCAATGATAACAACCAGTTCGAAGGTAACTTAATATTAAATTAGATTGAATGTTAAATGAAACTAAAGACTACTGGAATATACTATATCGACTATATGGAGCTTTTATGCGATGGCAAGATCTAGATTTCCCAGATATGCGAGACTTGAGTCTGGTCATGTAATATTGTCCTTTAGTTAAAGTATAGGTATAATATTTAGAATACATTTAGAGCATTATTTTTTAAATAGTATTTTTCACCGTAAGATTATATGAAGACGCTTTATGGCTAGGTTTGCTTTCAGCCAGACGCAAGGGAGATCGAGACGGCAAACACAATATGTACTCAATGCTGATATCGTTCAAAACGGCAATGCTTACGACAGTAATGGTAGCGGCATTGAAGTTGGTTACGCTGAAATCTATAATCCTGGCAAAAATGGCATTGATGATTTCGATCATAGCCTTGTTGTCCAAATTAAAAAATGAACACCACAGGCCCCATTATATCGAGATAGAGGAACGAGCGCCGGTCCATTCGTACGGATATCATGATCATCGTGGTAAGAAAAATCTTGATTATGGATGTATTATTAAATTTTGTGAAAATATAATTTCTAAGTCACTTCTCTAAACTATTGCAGATAAATCTGAAATCTAAAAGTCCTGGGAACTCTGTAAAGAAATTGAATTCAATCTTAGTAGCCCAAATTTTTGTATAATGCAGAAATTTAGAACTGTTGCAAGTCAACTAATAAATTTCCTTTAGAGAGAGTTCATATAAATATATATGAATATGCAATAGTAAATTAACAGTTTTTTTTTCAAAAGAAAATAAAGATCAACGTAAATAAGAAATAAATTATTTAAACACGGTAATTATTTTTTATATTTTGTATTTGTATTTTTCATTGTATTTTTTTAATATTCTCTGGTAATAAGTTATAATCATTGACAAGGATGCGTTTATATTAAACTCTACTGCCTAAATAATTTAGTTGTATTCGAGGAGTTCCCTCAGATGTACAGGGTGATTTGTCAAATATTTTTGAGGTGAAAAGTTAATAATAATAAAAAAGTTTCACTTTCTAAAAAAGTAATAGAGATAAATAATAATTTTTTATTTTCATTTTAAATGTCTTTGGCATCTTGAATAATAAATTAGCGTCTTCTTGAGTAAATATTGAATGGACATTAATAACAACCCGCAATGCCGAAACTCTTCGGAACATTTTTTTAAATTCATTTTTTAAGTTATGATAAAAACATGGAGATGCGATTTTCACTGGGTCGTTAAAAAAACAGATTTGCATTTATGGAGGTTTATAATTTTTTAACTATGATTTGTTAAATTAATTAGTTAAAGTGGGACATCTGCGCGCTGCCTTCTTATTGTGAATATTGTCGAGGACTTGGTTCTTAGCTAATTTATAAGGCAGGTCCGACCTAACCTACCCAATAAGTTTGACTTTTAATTTTGACTTTTGAGTTTTATCAAAAAGTATTTATTTATTTATCAAAATTAATATTGCCACTTCGAAGTAAACCCCTCCAGATATATTATATATTATATATTAATCGTTCCAAACCTCCTCACTTTCTTGAGTTTTGGGGATTAGGAAAAAGGCGCAGGGGACCACATCCTGTGAATATGGTGACTTTTTCTTCGTACTGCTTCTCGCAAACTGCGCATAGCTTCAACTTCAACTACTTTTTGTTTACCATATGACCTTGTGGTAAAAATATTCAAAGAAAACAGTAAGCAAAACTTTGACATTTGATCGAACTTGACGTGCGTTTTTCGGTCTTTCGATTCTAGGTTCTTCCATTGGGACGACTGGGCTTTTGTGTCGACTTGATAACTATATACCCATGATTCGTCATTAGTTATGATCTTTTTGAGCATGTCAGAGTCATCATTGACGTCATTTAACAGCTCTTGAGCGATGCTCCTCCGACGGCCTTTTGTTCAAAATTAAGCAGTTTCGGAACAAATTTTGCTGCTACACGTTTCATGCCCAATTGCATGGCACGAGCCAATGTCGATGCCGACATCTTCAGCCACTTCTCTAATAGTGATTCGACTATTTTTCAACAGCATTTGTTTCAGTTATTGCTGGACTGGCCAGAGTGAGATTCATGATCTCGGCCATCTTGGAACTGCTTGTACATCTTATATACATTTTTTTGCTCTAAGTAGATTCACCATATGCCGTTTTCAATATTTCAAGCGTTTTTTGTAGCACTTTACAGAAAAATCGCCAAACACGCAAAACACGCCTAACGCTTCTGTCTCACAAGAAAGTAAACGTGCAAACTGGCTGAAACTTGTGTACCAACTTAACAAAAAAATTATCGAAGATCGAATGTACAGGATGGTCCAAATTCGATGGCCTTCTATGGCTTTACCCATTTGCAATATAGTTAGCCCAAAACTAAAATGCATGTTGAGGGCTCGATTTTCGAGAGAATTCTTAAAAACAGCATCATGGTATGTAAAAGCGTTTCTGAGCTACAGGGTGATTCTTAAAAATGTGCGTTTCTAAAAAATCTCTATAACTTTTTTATTTGTAAAGTTTTTTATTGAAAACATTTTTTAAAGATTTTTTAAGGGCAAATCTACCTGCTTCACCGATTTTGTCTTAAAGCCTTTAATTCACGATATATAACACAAAGTTACATTCTTTTTAAATGGAATACCCCAATTTAAAAAAAAAATTAGTTTTCTAATAAAATTTCCTGTCAAACGATGTGCCATACCCTACCATACCATTACCATAGTAGGCTGTGCTTCACTCTGACCTATCCAGTTTTACGGTATCTATGTTGGTAGCTATGATCAGATAAAAACAATTGCCATGATACACAAATCCAAGTGTCAAATCGTCAAGTTATCAATATCACAGATTTTGTCTTAAAGCCTTTAATTCACGAGATATACCACACAGTTACATTTTTTTTTAATGGAATACCCCAATTTTTTTTTAATCAGTTTTCTAATAAAATTTCCTGTCAAACGGTGTGATATACCCTACCATACCATTACCATAGTAGGCTGTGCTTAACTCCGATCTATGCAGTTTTATGGTATCTATCTAGTTAGCCATGCTCACATAAAAACAATTTCCATGATACCCAAGCCCAAGTGTTAAATCGTAAAGCTATCAAAATGTTTGAAAACTTTGAAAAGTACGACATGATAAAATGTTACATTGAAAGTTACGAAAATCGACAGACGGCGTTAAATCTATATTTCCAGAGACATCCGGAAAGAAGGCAGCGTAGCTCAAAAATATTTTTGTCATCTAAACGAATACGGAATACTATGGTAAATATCAAAAATTGCAAATATCTTTTAAACTATTTAATAAAAATAGGTGTATGGCACATCATTCGACAGGAAAATTTATTAGAAAACTGATTTTTTAGAAAAATTGGGGGTATTCTATTTAAAGAAATATAACTTTGTGTGATATTTCGGAAATTAAAGGCTCTAAGACAAAACGGGTAAAATAGAGAGATTCCTGCTTAAAAAAACTTTAAAAAATGGATTTTTCTCAAAATTCTATTCTTACAACTAAAAAAGTTATAGAGGGCCTTTAAAATCACACATTTTTGAGAATCACCCTCAAAAACGCCTTGACATATCACGATGCGGTTTTCAGTTTTTGACTAACTATATTGCAAATGCTTAAAGCCATAGAGGCCCCTCGAAGTTGGAGCACCCTGTACTTAGCCTGCCTAATGACAAAAGTAAGCTTACCTTTTTAACACACCTCGTGCTGTAACATGGAAGCAAGCATTTTTCTACAGACATTGCGAAATTGCAGCTTTTATAAAATACCGAATAGATAGTTTCCGATTTTAGTTCTAATATTCTGCAATTCGCGATATTCTCAGAAGCAGAAATTTGAAATTTCGTTTCATTGGATAAACAACAAAACGAAATCTAATTTGCGTTGGTCTGATCCGCAGGTCACGTGGATCACGAAGCGTCTTCATCGAACTTATATAACGACGTGATTTACGCGCCTAGCGCGGCGTCCCAGGGGGCGTCGCATTACTCGCCGGACGATCTGATGAATAAAACTGCCCTCTATCCTACTCACGGCCTGCAGAGGCGTCAGAGTAGAGTTTCCGACGAAAACAGGAAGTTTCCGCTCTGGTCTATCGGGACTATTAAGAAAATTTCACCCACGCGTAGAAGATAGCGTCGTATTAGTGTACAGTTTCGTAATAAATTATTATAATTAACTACGCGTTTTGTTTATAGGGTTTTTGCTCGTGTAGGGTGTTTCATATTTTTTTGTTATTTATTAACATATTCAGGATACAACAGGAATACTGTTCCAGACAGAATCCATATGACCAGTTCAAAATTCTGCTACAAAATAAAGTATTTAAAATATTCATTTTTGATGATATTAAGACTCGGTGAAAAAATATCTGCATTAATACAGTGTTTGTCAAATACCATGGCATGCTCCTTAGTAAGGGCAGCAAGAATCTTTACACTACAACTTACGGTAATTAATATATAATGTAATTTAAAGAATAAAGAAGATATTGGAGCTTGAAATGCTTACATTGAAATTGCCATTGCCAAAACAGGGAATAAGATAAGATAAGCACGCCTGATTTCTTTATGCTCGGTTCTTGAGTTAAAGATTTCCTAACAAAGCAAGCCCTCTATAGCTTGGAAGGTTTATTCTGGTGATGTAGCTTGTCTAGTCCCTGCTTTACATGATATGTTTTCTTTTTACTTTAATGTAAGAGAATATGAATGTTTGAATTGAATAAAATGAAAAAGGTGGTATATTCTGTCTTGTCTGACAGAAATGAATTCATTTCCTAATAGTAAGTGTAAAATGGAAAAGAAACGGAGAAGCTATGTTGAAGTTCGGATTTATGAATCTTTTATAAACTATTGGTAATCTCTTGAATTTGTGATCGACTCTATCGGTCGGAAAACAATTTAAAGGATAATATTCTCAAGAACTCGTTTTGGACAGATTGACTTACCAGATGCAAATGACAGTTTGCTATAAGTAAGCCGATAATAAAACCCAACATTCCATTTGCCTTTTGCAATTATTTGGCCAAAATACTGCCGAAATGTCTTATAGCTGTTAAGAATAATCCCAAAGTAATTGACTTTACAAAGTCAGTCCAGTAATCATGATGCTTAACTTTAACGAATGGTTCCTTGGTAAATTTTGAGTCAAAAGTTTGATACAAACAGATAGAATGTTGTATTATCTCCGCATAAAAAGATACACTTACTTTAATCTTTATGTTATTATTATTTATTATTATACACAACTTTACAAAGTACAATACAATACAATTGTTAAGTTCTTCAACGTCGTTTTAGCAATGTTGTTTTTCACTGTGCCATGAGAGATATAAAAATGTCAGATGTGATATTTTGAGCAGATATTTTACCAATTTGACTACGCTGAATTTTAATATTGGCTTGTTGTTTTATCAACATTGAAGACGGTTTGATTCTGTCCACCCTCTACACATTAATTGATTGGAATCATTTTTATTCCCATATTTTAAAATAGTTTTAATCGTCAAATAACATTAGTTAAGACTACGTTTTTATTTTGGTTTCATTTTTTAAAGCAATAAACAGATTCTCCGATCACCTTCGAATAAATATTTTTTAATCGAGACGTGTGCGAAGTTTAAGTCACTGTTTGTTTAAAAAACTGTAAAAATTTCTGGTATATGTCAAATATATACCGGTACACGAACAGACAGATCGAAAATTAGAAACTCATTTCGGAAATTTCTGTTGACAAAATATACACGTTAATGAGAAGCAAAAAGTCCCCCAGCGAAATGGAGATCTACTTTTACTAATTTTATTACTATGTCTCATAATGTTTCTGAGGCTATCGACGATGGTTCTCAATTGGACGTAATATATCTTAATTTTTTAAAAGCGTTTGATTGGTTTGATTTCTGAAGCGGCTATTAATTTCTTTTTCAATTTTATCTAACCCCACTCATCGTCAAAGCTTAATAGTGGGGACATTAGCATTGAAGGTTTTGGTTAATGACGTTGAAGGTGCTGAATTTTAATCAATAATAATAAATTGATTTGATTACATATCTTTTAGTGTTGTCATGATTACTATTATTTATTGACTTTATTTGAAACTTTAAATAACTTTCTGGATTGCGCTGACAAGTTAAATAAACCATTCTTTTGTCTTATATTAACTCTAGACATAGATATTTTTCCTGCCCACACCAAAAAGAAATATTTTATAATTATCACTTATTTTCTCAATGTCCTATTAGTAAAATAAGAATTGCAGTCTTTTGCTCTTGCTTTGCTTTTTTTAAATTAGAGTTAATGTTTTTAAGTTTATGTTTAACGTTAAGTTTCGTTGTGTAATCATTCCATTGAATCCCTCTGTAACTATTGTAATAATTGGTACTAGATTCTACCTGTTAGCTGAGATTTATAGCTGTTATAGTATATCCTGTAATAATAAATAAATAAAGTAAAATAAGCAACACAATTTATTTTATTTGTTTGTAATACATCCGTATAACTAAAGCCACTTTAAAATGGGGAACAATGTATTTGAACATTAAAAAAACAAAAAGTACAAACGTGTGATTCCGTTCTAAGATTTTAAAACTAGACTTTTTACATTTTTTTATACATATTATTCATCTATTTTACTGTAGAAATAAAAGCCTGAAAGGATTTTAGTACTTCAAAGCGTCAAGAACGAGAAGCAAATATTTCAAATTTTTTGACTAATTTATTCTGTCAGTGACAAAATAAATTAGGTTTGAAATCAAGTCAACTCTTAGCGTTAATTCATCAACTCCATATTTCTAATCAGTACTCAGCTGAAGTACTTTCAAGATTCAGTTGACGTTTCATAAATCTCGAGGTAGATGGCGCCCGAGTCATATGAATTCGAAGTCAAACAGTTTAAAATGCAAAAGGGAAATTCAGCGTTAACTTAAAACATTAAGAAGTGTCTTTTTTTTAGTTTGATCATAGTAATAAGAATTTATGAGGTAATTAATTTTTAAATTATTTTTTGCTACAAAAAAAATTAAGAATTTATAAATAAATTTTAAAATTGTAAAGATATGACAAACGAATGAGCAATTATATAAAAAAATGTCATTATTACAATAGAAGAAACCACTGTTAAAACAAAATCAGTTATATCTCTAAAAAAATACATTAGAGTGCTATTAACAAGAAGGAACACTGTATTAACATGCGTCAATTATCTGGAGTGGTAAAAAATATACATTTAAGAAAACAATATTTAAGAAAATTTGCAGAGAGAAAAAAATGTGTTTGGGGATGAGACAAGGGCGTGCGGTATATACGTAGTTAATGTTGATGGAAAAAAGAAAATCTCAAGAAAAAAAGAAAATACTGTTTGGCTTTAGAACACTAATTTTATTACATAACAAAAAACAACTCAATTTTCCTGATTTTAAAATTGCTTTCTAATTTAGTAAAATTTTAAATTGTTCTATATATATTTAGTATTAAAGACACTCTGAAACCTTTACTATTTTATTTATCATATTTTAATGAAAACGGTTAATTAATAACTATAAATATAAATCATTTAACGCTGTGACGAATGCGCCGGGAATTATTACCCAGATATCGTGGTATTTGAAATTACTTCGGATCAGTAGGTCTGGGATAAAAATAAAAGCAACAGTTTATGTAACAATCATATTTTTTTATTGATTTCTTCCGGGGAAGAAAAGTAACAACGGTCGCTGGAAATAAGTTAAGAAACGCAAAAAATAAATTAACTTAAATAGGCACCAATATGGTGGTAACGGAGCTTGAGTATCTTCAAAAGTAAATATCACTCGTGCGGCTAATTGGCAGGTACGTGGGCGCTGTAGGCCAGGTTCTGGGCTTCCTTGGGATCAAAATTCCTGCCCCAACCTCCATGACCGCCGCCTCCGTAGCTGTCGTGACCGCCGGAGCTGATGTGGTGCTCGTGGTGATCGTGGTGTGGCTGTGCTACTACCTCGTAAGTCACGTGCTTCTCTTGACTTAGTAATTTTTTAAGTCCGATAATAACGGCGAGGACCAAGGCGAGCTACAAAAATATGTTTGTGTCAAACTAATCACAAATAATATATATCATAATGTTTCTTATCTGGGCTCTTGAACCTGGGGAGCTTCTTTCCAATGAGAAAATGGATCTATCTTATTCGTTTTACTGACAACATAAATAAGAGTGACGAAGACTGAATATGCGTTTCTAAGAGAACGTAATTTAACAGTTTCAATAATTGGGTTTCTGGGAACAATTTACCGACCAGGAAAGGACATCTTTATTTTACCTTCACCATTCCATTGGAATCCTTTTTGCAATAATATCTTGAAAACATTTTTTGCAACTCGAATTTAAATTGGATTTTTAGGGCTCATTCACTATCCCCAACTAACAAACCCATTTTTACATGTCTGTGAGCTATTTTTTAAGAAAGCAAGTTTATTACGTAATTTACGGATATTTCAAAAATGTCGGGCGATTTCTTTGCAAAGACGGAATTTCAGTTTAAATATTTTTTCAGTGTCAACACTTTAATTTAATCCCCATCTTTGAAAGACGGCAAAATTTTAAGCAAGGGACAAAACGAGAACCGCTAAAATTAATTGCGAAAATCTTGTAAAGGGCAAGATCCGTGTTAATATTCCTCGTAAAACTGACCCCAGAAGGATTATTATACTGGCAAATTTAATTGAAAATGAGCACAGAAATTTCCATCTGCTCGTTTTATATTCAAATGATATAAAGTCCATTTAGCGAGTTTTGGTGTTTTCGTACCTTTTTATGGGGAATTACGCAAACCTGAAAGCATTTTGGGGATACGGATCTAACGAAAATTATCCCCAAGGAAGGCTTCATTACTTATAAGGCACATTTCCAAATTTGAAACTTTATCTTTGTTGTCGTGAAAATTTTTGCCTTTGTAATCAGATATGCTTTTATTTAAATTATGAATATTAGTCTTGGCAAACACATGAAATTCCTTTAAAACAGCCTTCTAAAAAATGGTTAAGAATGTTATGGATTACTGACGAACTGAACCGCGTTTCTGAAAGCAATTCTTCTGCTTATCAAATGTTTGCGTTTCAACTTTTTCGAATATCACTTACCTTGCTGACTAGCAGCGCCTTTCCGACCAGGAGTACCAACGCTTTAAACGCGAGAGCTTTCAGGATACCGATCTTCATAACAGCGGCAGCCATCAACGCTCCCATATTGTTATCTTTGTCTTTCTTCTTTCTACCTTCTTCGACTCCCCCTTCTGAAGGGCGAATGGAAAATCCCAAGTTAAGGCCTCCACTGGGGTCCGTGTTTCCTGCAATTACTACGTCGGCTCCATCCGTTACCTGTAAAGATATACTTTTTTAGGTTTTTTTGGGTCCTATTAAAGAAAATGTCATATATTAATCCATTTTAGTTTTTCAGGTGTTGCACTCTGTGTTATATGGCATCCACATTGATTTTAGACTTATTTTGCACAAATTGGTATTGAAATGTCTTTGCTTACATTCTCATGGTTAACAGAGTTCGCTTGAATTTTAGATATCTATTTTAAACATATCCTTCTTGTACTGGTTATGACTTTTCTCTGAGACATTAACCGTAGATGGGAAAGTGTATACCGTAATTCCTTTAACTAATTTCCTTGAAATTCCTTGGAATTACTCTGGAATTTTTTGGAATTATTACCCCAGTTCTCCAGAATTTATCCATTTTTACTGTACACCACAATTCTTCTGCCCTTGGTATTTTCTAAGAAAAGAGGAATGTTTCTCAGTATACTAAAAGCAAGACATTTAGACGAGGTAGACAATCTTCCAGGATGCTATCCCATGTTTTTTTTTTAATTATAAATGATTGTTTTTAATACATTTGAAATCGAATTTTAACTGATAATCGGAAATATATTGCAAAGACATTTTGAATGCAATTCTAATAAAGGGTTTTAAAATTAAATGAAAAATTTGGTTAAGTTCTCAAAATACATGAAAATAATGACAGTTAAACACAGTTAGTAGTAGTTGTGATTTAAACTATCGCAAATACTGAATGTAGCCAACGAGTTTTCAATTCTCAGTAATTCAAGGAATAAAAATCAAAAGTTAACGAATTAATTAAAAACATTATTTGAAATTAATCAAATCTAATTAATAACATGCCAACGTTGATTTTCAAAAATTAAGATATAATAAAATTTTTGGATACCCTTCAATTTTGTAGGTTTGTAGATATTTATATAAAGTTGTAGATAAAAATAAACATCAAAAAATACAAAGAAGTGATATCAATCACAACTGAGATTAATAAAAAAAAAGTACAATGTTAGTTCAGCACTGGGTTCAGAGAAATTGTGATACAAAACACAAACTTATAGTTACCAAAAATATTTTCATTGCACGAGTTAGCAGACGGCGGAGAAAAAAAAACAAAATTAGCCGATAAGTATTCACCGTAACGCGACGACTAGATTCTAGGTTAAGTGCTTTTCCGTAGGTTTTCCTTTCGCGGTTTCAGATACAAAAATCAAGTTCACGATTGTCGTGAACATTTGACCTTATGGCATGATAAAATCGTGCGCAATTTCACTGTAGAAATTTTAATTATCCCGTCTTGGGCAGGCGCGGGTTTCTAGGTCCGCAAAATCACCAGTTTCGTTTTCAAAAACATGGTTTATAAAAATCCATCCCATCCCATCGACTTGATCGCCTCTTCATACTGACACACTTTTTTCTCACTAACCGGAAAATATTTTATTCTGCTAACAAGCAGGTTTCTCACAGTGGAGAATAATAAACTGCAATAATAAAATATAATTACCACAATCTATTTCTTTTCCCCAGACTTCTTGAACGACATAAACAATATTATTACGTTTTAGGCGGGTATCAAAATACTAAAAAAAAAATTTTCATTGAAATTTATGCTTAGTGGCAGGTGTCAATCTTTTTATCTTGGCTACCAATACATCTCAATGAAAGCCTCGTGAATCACAGGTATAATTAATTATTTCTATTTATTTGTAAACTTATAGCGTGTTAAGAATATGTGAATAGTTCTTAACAGGTTTCTTACGGTACATTTTCGATATTTGTACCTGTATGTCTCTTCATATCACTAATTCACCATGTATGTTTAGGTGGGAGTTTGCTGTTTGCGTTTACCAACCAAATAAAAAGCAAATGAATATTTATCTGCCTATTTTTCTTATCAGTCGAGACGTAGTGAAAACTTTACCTTCCATTTAAGCGACCTCGTCCTCAAGAAATTGTACAACTTGTCTCCGACGACTTCAATCATTTGACTCTCTTCTGACATGTTCTCAACGTCCTTCAGGCTTCTCGATGTGTCGACAGCGACCGTCTCTGTGGAGGTTTGAGTAATTTCGATATCCCCGAACTCGATCTGAGATTTCTTCATCAACCTATTGAAGTAAGTCACCAGCTTCAGCATCATGCACGACGATACGTCTCTGTTCGAGCATTTGTTGTTTAGTTTCTTCAGCAAGGACTCCTCAATTGCCGGTTCATTAGAATGAACCTGCAAGAGAACCAAAATTACCGATAGTGGTTTGGTAAAAGGCCGTCAAAAGATAAAAGTATCGCCATCTTTATTTCATTTCACGTGGACTAAGAAATTTGCAGTTTTTCTTGATATTTAATTTGGAAACCATTTCCTGTTTTTTATTTTGAAGGCTGGTAGTGGCATTTTTGAAATTTACGCTGTTGAGACGGCAACTACGGATTTATTTCCATCCAAGTCATAATAAACCTACGCTTTTCGGGGATCTAAGTTGTTCCAATAACGGGATTATTAGGGATTCCGGGAGCTTTTGTACATTTAGTCTCGCGTTCCACTTCCTTTTCAGGATTTCGCAAATTGGGAAATGTATCCGTCGAAGAGAGCAAAAATTTGCATATAGTTACCCGATTCAAAGTTGCTACGGTGTAACAAAGCAACATTTCGCGTCAGCAATTTGGATTGTGATTTTCACAAAACTGTTTGCGAAAATCTTCTACAAAAATCTCTATTACGAATAGTTAACTATTGACGTTTCTGAATGTCAAAAATCCATGAAAAAAGAAATGAAGGTCCTTGGAATTTTAATTTTTAATTAAGGTAATCGATCTTTCTGAATTCAAAAGCTTTATAAACGTATAAAAAAATGACTATTATAAATAGTCAACTGCAGAATTTTTTAAATGTCTATACAGATAAAAATAAATTGAAAACCTAAAATCGATGAAAAAAAAAAAAAAGAAAACGAAGATTTTAGTATCGTTGGAAATTCAATTTTTAACATCGAAAATTAAAATAATCTACTAATATAACTACCATAAATAGTTAATTGTCATAAATATCTATTCGGAGTTTTATTTTTTTTTCTTTTAACGTTTCTAAAATAAAATTGGATTACTATCGATTTAAGTTAGGAAAAAAAGTAAATTTTGATATCTTTAAAACAAAAAATTAAAGTAATCCAAATTTAAGGAAAGCAACTTACATCATTCTGAATTAAAAGCTGTAAAAAGGTTTCCTCGCAACATTTTTCAAAGTGCCCTTTGGCAGAATAAACTTTATGGAGATACGCCACAAAGCCGAGTTATAAAAGCATCTTTTACGGAAACAATGCCGATTAAATTAGCCTGTTTCGAAATCTTGAATGCATAAATTTTTGTGAAGCGGGAACGGTTAAAAGCAAACTTTACTTTTACTTATTTTACCAGTAAAAACCAAAACGAAAGAAAGGCAATAACAAAACGACCGGAGACGCATAGAAACTTAAGATACTATTCTACAAATTCCGAAATAACCAGACAAAACTACGCAGTCTATTTTGTATATTAGTGCGGTTTTCATTTGGACTTCGGAGCAAAATAAATTAAAATGGTACACCACTAAAATGCTCATAATGCCAGCGTAATTGAAAACGGCGAAAACCGCGATAAGGTATCTTTCAAAATGCCCTCTCCGTTGAAATGCGACCCCTTTGGCTGGGATTTAAAGTTTCTCTCTTTTCGTTTATCGGCACACAATTTTACGATAAATATAATTCATAAAACACACGAGCGCTCCCGAAGGGGCTTATTCTAAAATTAATAATTCAGTCGGAAATTGAATCGCTAATGGTCTATTTGTCGAGAACCGATACTGCTTGATAATCGGCAACAGCGAATGAATCATATTTTCAATTAAATATGCAGTTCGGAAAATTGTTTGTTAACTTTGTTTTCTTTTTGTTTAAATCGATCTACGCAATTAAATCGCCTGTATTTTGTCCATTGGGCCGAAAGTTATTGTTATTATTTGGGAAACTGAACAGTCGGAAACAAACGAAATTTCATGGTTACTGTATTTTAAAATTCTTTTGGCAAGGGTTTATATTTTTTCCTCATTGATTGGGAAAATAGAAAAATAAATTGTTGGATAATATTGGATGACTGTTTTCAGAGAACTAACTAAAACTTGAAAACATATTTCGATATAGATTTAACGGCCTTACTTTAGAGACAAATACCACAATGTTTTTAAGATTAATGTTTTTTTTGTTTTTTGTCTCGATCTTTTTTTCTAGCTCTCTGGAAAAGGAAAGAGTGAATTCATAAATGTTTTAAAATCTTAACCCCTTTTTTTTTCAAAATTTCAACTTTTAGGTTAAAATTGAATTCTTTGCAAAAAGTGTAAATTTTATAAAAAGGAATTCATAACTTTATAAAGAAATTTGCAAAATATGCAAGTTCTCCTACTTTTTAAGGAACACACACACACACACTTTTTTTTTTAATTTTGTAAATCACTTGCTTAATTTACACTGTTTGTCGGAAATTTCTTAAAAGCGTCAATTTTTGCGTCTTTCTTTAAAGTGCGAATTTCGTTACGATTAATTCGTTTTTTAAAAAAATTTGCAAAATTTTGTGAAAAGTTTTATGAACTCACAAGATTTTTACGAAATTCACTTTTTGGGTTCCTGGTACAAGACTGTTTTTAATGAAATTTTGCAAAAAGAAAATTTAATTTCGTAAAGACGAATTCATACCTAAATTTTGAAAAAAAAATGGGTTATTAAAATTACTTTAATTTAACAAAAATAATTACTATTTTGGGAATCTTTATTTGCAATAATAATCTACAACTTTTGTTTACCAGTTTTGAGAGGCTAGTCGTGTATTATGCACGGAGCTGAGAGTTTTTCTTAGATAAAATCAAAACTTTTCATATATTATTAAGCGTTAATGTTAAATGCGCAGCAAACAAAATGAAATTACGATTCAGTTACTTTAATTAGGCGTTTTAATGGAGAACACCCTAACTGTTCGCTCTGAATATTCATTATTCGAATCGCAGGCTAACTGTAGAACGAAGAGAAATATATACATCTTCCATTCTAAAAATTGTGTTGACACTTTTCCTAAGTATAAAACATTAGTGAAGAGGATTTTAAATTAACTCTTATACTACCATTACTACTGTAAGTGCAATGACAAATATATACTGGGCAGAGAAGAAAAAATAAATTATATCCTAATACTATCAACAAAATCGATTCCAATTAATAAATAATTTCCAATTTAAGTTTGCTGAGGGAAATTTAAAAATGCTTTTGTAAGCAAACTTGTAATAAAAAAAATAAACAAAAAAAATCTAAAAACAAATATTAATCTTATTAATTATTAATGTGTCCTTACCGAATTGATATGGGGTTTCGGATCTTCCACCACAGGTCCGCCGACGACAACGGCAACCGAGAAGGCAATCACAACACAAATCACCTTGCAGTTCATTTTCACTTAAAATTAACAACGAAACTACTCAAGAAGACGAGCAGCAAGATAAAGTCGATCCTGTCTATTTTTTTTTCTTTCAAGAGAGGTACGTGAGTTGATGTTAGCACATGACCAAAGTTTAAAATTGAATGAAGATCCAAGAAGAAGAAGGAACATTTTATATGATCCGCCCGTACGCGCCTCCAAGAGAAGGAAGTGTGTCATATGGACCAGCTTGAAGAATTAGGGTTAACAATGAAGCAGATTCGCAGGTTAAATACCACGCGATTCGGATTGGCCGAGACCTTGACTGCTGTTCGGTTTGGTCGATTGGATTTGTCCCCTCGTGAGAATGAGACTCTTCGGGAAAAATTGTTACAACGACAGTGAAATTTTCACTTCGGCTACTGTCAGTGCGGCTCGGTTTACACCGTCGCTTTAAGTCCGCCGCGAAATTTTGATTGGTATCGGATTTTTGATATTTTTTCTTTTAAAGGTTGTCATTTTAATGACAATTGAATTGAAATATAGTAAAATAAATCCTAAAAAAATCCTATAACAATGCGAATGAAGCCACCATGACTTATACAAGAAAATTTTATTGCGTATTACTTGCAGTTAATTAAATTTAAATTTAAAAAAATGTGTTACCAATATATTAAATGTAAAGAATAATTGAGACAATACAAACTCATTTTTTTTAACAAAAAAAAGCAGCATTGAGCACGTTATGTTCTATTACTAGTTACCGCTTAATCAGTTAGATTGACTACTTAGATTGTCTAATCTCGAGCTCTACTCTCTTTTTCATTCAGTTTTTAATATATAATATTAAAATTATAATATTATAATAATATGTTAATATTGTAATATTATTATATATTTCAGAATCTTAGGGTTGTGCCATCCGTTATTACTCCACCCAAATAATCATAGATATCTTTCTTCCTCCTCAAATTTGCTTAGAGCTAGTTTGAATGGAATGAAAATAAAGACAAAAAAATATGCTAACATAAGCTTTTATAAATAAATAAATAAGATAATATAATAAACATACATAGTTGAACATGAGCAGTTGAGTGCTTGAAACATTTACTGACTTGTTGATGCTATTTTGCAAATGATTTTTAGTTAAATTGAAGGCCAAGGCGGTTTTTCTGCTTTTTATTTTACAACTTCACTCTGAGAGAAGGTTTATTTTTAGATTATTCATATATATTTTTTTATTTTTAATTTTCACGCCACTATTGCCTAACAAATTTGATTTTTTTCATGACTGTTTTGATATAAAAGTTGAACAGCAGTCTCACTGTTGGTCTATCGTTGGCAGTGGAGCAGCTGGTTGTTAGTTATATATTGAGTTTTGAAGAAATTAATTTAAGATAAAACGTAGATTTTTTAACTTAAAATTAGAAAATAAAAAAAAATAGACGCACATTTTTGAAAGCGCCAGGAAAACCAGAGGCAAACTATCAGTAGCAGGATAGTCTTATACAATTTAATCTTTTTTCTTTCACCACCAACATGAGCAGGCAAGTTATCATAATCTTTTAGTCAGTTACAATGTCCGATAAGCCTTACCATAAATTAATTTGACAGATAGAGGTGTCGGTTTGTTTAAACGAAGTTCTAATTCCAGTTGATTTATCTAGTTTTCTACGACCTTATTGACAGTTACTTCGTTGGAGAAGTTTCGAAATACGCGCAATGTCAGATATTTATCCATTCCCATTGACGAAATAGTATACGATTTATGATTAAACTAAGACTGAAAGATTCACTGTGCGAAGATATTTTTTTTTTATGTTAGTCTAGACTTTCCGCTGCAAAGCTCTAAATTCATTTTCATGTGGTTGACTGCATTTTGTTAATATGTACGTAATTTATTACTATAAAGTTCAATCAATGGCAGAAATTCTGAAATGTAAAATTAAATTTTGCAATTTACTGCACAATCAACATTCTCTATTAACGATACAAGCAAACCGTCATAGCCCGAGTACTCGAAACATTTTGTTGAATTGTTTCATTAATCTATCACGACCAGTCCGATGAAGAATTTTGTGTTCGGTCGATATTAATTCATTTAATTGTCAATACGTAAAAATCCCTTTTAATTTACTGGTTATATATTTCGAGATATAATATCGTAAGGAGTTAAATGTTGTTCGAGCTTTTAATCACTTCTTGGACGATTTTTTTAAAAATATTTTTATTTAATTTCTCTTTATCTTTATTTATTTAACCCAAATTATGCTAGTAAAGCTAAAAAAATAGTAATAATCGTTGTATGTAGATCGATAGAGTTATTCTACAAATCAGTTAATTCAAAAAGCACCGTATGTTCACAGTACTATTTAAAAATTTCACAGATAAATCGACGTCCGTTTTTTTTGGTTCAGGTCCAATTAGCGCGGTGTAAACCGCGTTACCGAGCGAAGCCGATTTTTCTCCAAGAACCGTTTGATCTTCTGGGACACGAAATCCTTTATGTTAATGAAGTAAAAGTGAATACTCCTAAGATGAGAGGCAAATTCGACGGAATTGTTAGTCCACCTGTTTCGACTTCCATCGACGCGCTTAAATATGAAATTTACAAAAGTTCATTGCGGTCCGTGCATACGGGTAATGAATAAAATAAACAGACGGACACCCACGAAGTTTAGCAATACTTTCCACATTGTGTAAAGTTTTTATGATCATTGTTTTGCTATGGATATGTGGCCCTTTTGATGATATTCAGTTTATATATAAAAATTACAACAAATCAGTAACATGAACCGTGTAAACTGCATCAAGCAATTATTTGGAAAGAAAATGGTCGAAACCAGTGACGTGCAGAAGTTTAAGGAAGCGTTACTAATAAAATAGGATTATTTAACGTAAATGAAACGTAAAATAATGAGAGAAACGTTATATAGCTTTGAACGTCAAAGTCAAACTTTGCACTTAACTAAACGGTTGCAAAATTTTAATATTTTTAATAGGAGCATCCCTAAGGTGGTTTGGTGGTGTAAGTTGCATTAAACAATATTTAGGCTGTAGATTGTCAACAAAATAAAGGCAATGGAAAATCTCTTAGTATTTCCAAAGGTACTCTTGTACAAAGCAAAAAAAAATGTATGAGAATGAGGTTTTAGCCAAGTAATTTAATAAATTATTTAAACTTTTTCAGGAGAAAATATTTTTTAAAATACCCTGTATACCATGTAAATTTATGATTGTGCAGGTTTGAAAGAGCGATCTGCATTGCATATATTTAACTCTAATTCTGCCGTATATATATTTTCGTAAGCTGTTAACATTTATTTACTTGATAACAAATAGAACATATTAATATTATAATTATATTAAATTTTAATTTCTTAAAAAATCACCGAAAAAATCGCATCAATATGATGTTTTTTATTTTGGAAAAATGGAATTATTTTTAACTACTTTTTATTTTATTTTTTTGACAATTTAATGAATAAATAATTCTAAATCACTGATTTACTTTTTATTTTTAAGTAATATGCACAAATATACGTTATCATCTTATAAAAATTATATATTCAAATTCACAGGTTGCATAATTCCACATACACAAGATTGAAGTGGACGAAAATAGTCAAAATATATCACAACTTATTTCAAATAAGGATTAACGATTTCATGAATTATCCGTTAATAAATGATTTAATCTAACTTCACAAAATTGAGAAATAATATTAAAGAGTCTCTTCGTGTGTGTCAATAGTATTAACATATATGACAAAAAAAAAGAATCCACATTACTATCCATCTTCTTCTAAATTAAATTACCCTCAGAAAATGGATATTGGCTGCATGTAGGCGCACAATAAGGTTCCAGAAAACCAAGCAAAGCTTAAACCTTTTTCTAAGCAAATTAAAATGTATTTAGATATTAGTATAAATAATCGAATCCCTCCAACAAAGCGAAAAACAATGCTCAGTATTACTTTTTACAAAAGTTCTGGATTCCTCCTGCGACGGTTTTTGCTGAGTCGAAATTGCTGACGTCTCGCTAATCATCCTGTTGGCTTCTTCAGAGCTTGACCGAAACTGTTTCAGCAATTTCGACTCAGCAAAAACCGACGCAAGGGGAATCCAGAAATTTTGTAAAAAGTATTACAGTAGCCTGTGGAAGTTTCTTTGAAAAATTAAAATGCTCAGTATATTTCATGAAATATTATTTATGTATTGATTTAGAATACAGATTAAGAAAAATAAATAAACATATGACACAATTTTTACGCGAATAAAAATTCTGATACCAAAGAAACCATATGTTTCAGAATACGTCTCCGTCGAACTTTAAAATCAACAAGTAGCCGAAAACGATGGTTCGCGTTAAATATTTAAGTAAGCGTTCAAACACCTTTGAAACAAATCAAACAACTTTCGTTTAACGAGCATGTCGCTGATGCAATTCGACTCGCAGTGATGTGCATCCGTTACAAATAAATATTTATTTATAATAACTGTAACGGATTTTCTAACAAGAGAAAGTTATTAAACTTATCGTAGACAAATTGAAGCGAGTCATCTGACGGTAATGCGCTGAATTTACGGTCACATGCAATACACGCATTAGAGTGTTTTTCAAAAAAAAAAAAACGCTGCTGGATGTAACACAAGCTGGAACTGGAAGTAGTTGGTTTGAATATTACTATTCTAGCAACCTAGATTGATTGTCATCATCAAACATTGAAAATTATTCGTTCCCCTTCATAAACTGCTTAGGCAACTGCAAAGGCAACTGCACCAAACCACATTCTTTTATACTAAGGCTCAGACTGTGAGGTAAGTTTTCTTATTTAAAAGGTTACAAAGGGTAGGCAATGTTTCTTTATAGTGATATAGATCATCGTAATAATTTACACCATTGTTGTCCAAATGTACATGTCTTATTGGGCACAGTGACATTATCTTGGCTCTCCATTCTCTCACTTTTGCTGTAAGTAAAATGTAATATAAAGGTCATAACGAGGTGATAACTATCTTACTCGGGCTAAAATATATCTCTTTTTTGTGTCACTGCAATCCTCTGCCGACCACCGATCATGAATTATTTAAAAAGCGTTGGTGTGAAGCAAGGATTAACTAATCGCCCAAGAATATTCTGATAGGCTATTGCGTATTTAATAAATTCATGTCGGTAACAATGCCAACATCTGATATTTTTGATTCTTAAACCTTAACTGGTCAAATCTGAAGCACTATTCTACCACGAGTATAATGAGATATTTCACGTGAATATTCCGCCATTGTTTTAAAACAGACAAGAAATACATCCGTGCGTAAACGCGGGATTTATTCTAATGAGGTTTATAGATAATAAGGTTAGTGAGCTAATAGCGAATATTTGAGAATTCCTGATGTTTTTTAAATTACTCCGCTTTCTTTGCGTTGTTTACGTCTCGTATGGTCTCATAAAAAGCGCGTATTTTCAATCGAGTTTCCGCGGACACGTGAAGCTAATTTCCCAGTGAGAGCAATGGCGTCTGATTTCGCTATACCGAATCAGCATGAAAAAAGAGACTCGGCGAATTGCGGAATTAAAAGAAACTTGAGAATTCGTTGGGTTTTTAGTTGATTATAGGGTCGTGAGACGGAGAGTGCAATCAACGATATCAATGGGAAGAAGAAAGTGTGAAAATTAGCAGCGAACTTTAACTGAATTAGGAGGTGTAAAATGCCGACAGAAAGTTTTGTTTGCAGAATTAATGCGTATTGTAAATATTTTAACAATAATGCGTTTTAAATAGATTCCAATGCATTGGAAAAGGTTACAAAGTAACTATTAACATTGGAACATTATTAATAAAGTTGCAGTATAGTAAATTTCAAATTATCCATTATATTTCTTCTAATCATATATTTGTTCTTGCTGATATTGCCTCCTAGCGATCTAAAATACAAAGAATTTTAACCTGCAGCATTTTTCCAAAATATGCATTGCACGCGTAAAAGTCGCGAATACTGTTATATATGCTTTATTGACTATCAAAAAGCATTTCATAGATTCTAGCATTCGACACTCATAGATGAACTGAAGACAATATTTAACTGGATGTCAATGATATAGCGCTAATCAAAAAGATATACTGGAACCAAACAGCCTCTGTGAAGCGAGGTTTGGGGTGTCAAAATAGGAGGTGAATCATCATCATGACTGAATCCCTAATGAACAGGGTCAATAACGAAAGCATTAAAACGGCACTTACAATACGGGTGCTACGCCTTCCCGTTTCCAGTTTCCATTCCTTTCGATCCTACCAGTCTCTTTGTTGTAAGTTCCTTTCTGACATGGCTCGGTGTATTCCGTTTAGCCACGTCTTCCCTTTTTCCTTCTTTCTGAAGGTGTCTATTTTAGAATTTGGTTTGGTAATCTTTCTTCTACTTCGCTACATGGCCACACCATATAAGTTGCCGTTGGTCTATTTCTTCAAGGATGGTCTTCTGCATGTCCATGATTGCCCTTATTCGTTGGTTATTTACTCGATCCATCCTTGATTTACCGGCCGCTCTGTGCCAGAAGTCCATTTCCAAGGACAGCAATCTTCTTTCCAAGGCTTTGTCTAATTGCCACGTTTCGCATCCATAAAGGACTATGCTTTTAAATATAGTATCGTATATAAGTTTTTCCTTGTCATAAACTCTAGGTCTTCTTTATCCTGGGCCACTACAAAATGGAGAGTGTAAAAATTGATATTATTTGTTACTTCTATACCCATTTTGCTGCATGGATTTCTCCATTTTCTTAAGGCTTCATTCAAATAAATCTTGAACAGTGTCGGGGAGAGAATCTTTGTCGAAAGCCTTTTTCCAATATGTTCTTTCCTATCTTAATCCGATACTGTAAAAACTAAATTCATTTTTGAATTGAAATTGCGAGGCAGCCTTTCCTCAAATTTAAAGCACTATTCAGCAACAGAAATAAACTAGGATTAAAGTTTATTGAATGCTATGTATGGACATAACTGCTGCATGGAGTACAAACTTGGACTCTCAAGGCTCAGACCATCAAGATACTAGAATCTTTGAAATGTGGCTGTAAGGTAGAACCTTAAAAATACCCTGGACTGTTAGAGTTACTACTGAGGAAGTATTAAGAAAAATAGCACAAGAAAGGAAATTAATGATTGCGATCAAACGAAGAAAGCAGGTTATCTTGGTCATATTGTAAGAAATAATAAATACGAACTAATACAGGCTGCAGGGACTAGTGGATAGAAGACAAGGCATATGAAGAAAGAGGAAATAATGGCTAAGAAACATTAAAGACTGTACACTCAGATTAGTGTAGTTTAGAAAAGTGGTCGCCAACCTCCGTTAGGGGATGATACAGGAAGAAGAAGAAGAAGAAATGGTTTTAAGTTGAAATGAAATTTCAAGTTTCAATGAATTTCCATTATTACTCGAAATTTTTAACTAGTTTGATAAAAGTTTGTATTAAACGCTTTAAAATGCTTGAGGGAAATAAGAAACGGATGTTTGGGTTCCTTTATTTACTCCCTAGATTCTGGAAGTATCTAGAAAAACGTTTTTTAAGATGCCCGCTCGGCGTGGTACATTTTTTATACGTCAGCCCGGTTAGAAAAAAAAAGATGAAAAACTAGTCTTGCCGGGGATAATGGAAAACCCTTGTTCCTTATAAATATTTAATATGTTCCGAGGAGGTTTTATGTGTCGTACAAGGGAAAGGTTTGGGTATTATTGAAAAACAAACGCGAGAACAACGTTCTTATTTAACGGTTAATCGCAGAATCTTCTCGCCACCATGTTCATAAAGCCTTAGTGTCATTTTTAGATCTGTGTATTAGTTTGTGAATCGTTTATTAATATACAAAATACTGAAACTTTTAGTAGTACAGGGAGTTGAAAGTAAAAATTCTTTTTTTGCCATTAATGTGCCAATTCTTCAGTCAAAACGTTTTTTCAAAAACAATTAACAAATGAACCTCTTTCAATTTAAGAATGCTTTACCTCTATTTTCCACTTTCATTTCCAAAACCACATAAAATTTATTTAATATTAGTAAAATGATATTAATAATGATATTATTAAAAGCACTTTATTGTTGAACTGAGGTGGCCTTTACTTGATGAAAGTTCATTTAACAGGCTTAATTAGGACAAATGGTGTTCAGACCTTGCCGGTCTTCAATCAAATAATATTTTATAAAGGTAAATAATATTTGATTGAAGCACAGCGTTTACGAGAATAGTTCAAAATTGATAAAAATTTTAAAAAAATATTAATATCCGCAATTTCAAACAAAATCATTTTATTAAATGGATTAAATGGAGAAAATAGGAAAAACTTAAAATCCATATAAATACAGGACAATTGACCACATGCATATCATTAAGATTCAAAAAAACAAAATCATTCGTGCTGTAAGAATAAGATCAACTTTCATTTACATTTCTCTCTCTCTTCAACTACAACTTAAAAAGTTACAGCGCCAAATATTATAGCAATGGAACAGTAAGGAGACCAAGAGTGTCAAAATACGGTTTGCAAGAAGTGCTGGGATGCGGGTTGAGAATGCACCTGGGTCTTGAAAGCATTGATTTCGTACTTGGAAGATCACCAGAACAGTATCTCATGTGAAATTCAAAATTCTTTGAAAACTGACTATCCGAGTCTCCGAATCAGGTCGTAAAAATTGAACTTGAACACAGCAACTCGTTTTAGAAGCTTTTTTCGTTATCCGTTTTCGTCCGCAGAGGAAAAATTGCAGAATTAATCTCTCGTTGGATGGAAGTGACGTGGGTGAAGGTGCCCAAAATAAATTTCTTTCTACTAGTCCAGACTAGTTCATTTCTTCAAACCGTGTCAAAAGAAATTAATGCCTCTGTCTAGCCTAACTCCAGAGGACACCAAAGAGGCATCTGAACTTCTAGTAGACGTAGACTTAGATTTCCTGGAAAAAGCGTCTAGGCTCGATCCCAAATTAAGTAGTCAGTTTCGAGATTCAGCTGAGGATTTTTCGGATAATTCCCCTTCTGATTATAATTCAATCCAGATGTAGGTTCCAGATCCAGAAAATGAGAAATAACCGAGGAGAAGTTGTTACTGAAATGGATGAAATTATCAGAACAGTCGAGGACTTCTATCGGTACCTATACAGCCAATCAATAGCAAACCCAAACCAAGATCGATATGACTGAACAGACTCTATTATGAACGTAGGATCAGAAGAACTGGAACCTGTCGATAATTTCGAAATGGAAGCAGCTCTGAAACAACTCAAAAACTGGAAGGCACCAGAAGAGATCAAATCACAAGCGAGATGTTTAAAATGGACGGAGACACTCAAAAAAGCACTCATAATCCTACTGAATAAATGCCTCGAGGAAGGTAGGATTACAGAATCCTGGAAAAATGCAGAAGTCGTTCGTCTTTTCAGAAAAGGCGTCAATACGAACATAGAAAATTACAGAAAAATTAGTCTGCTATCTGTTTTTTATAAGCTGTTAATCAAAATCATCGCAAACCGCCTGAGCCAAAAATTTGATTTTTACCAACCAGTAGAGCAAGCCGGTTTCAGAAAAGGTTACAACACCATCGACCATATCCAGACAGTAGGCACGCTGATAGAGAAATGTACGGAATATAATGTCCCACTCCACATGGCCTTTATAGACTACCAGAAGGCGTTTGGTTCAATCAAAATTTGGGCAGTGATGAATGCAATGAACAATGCCCGCGTAGACTGGAGATATACTCGCTTACTTCAATACATCTACGAGACTGACACCCTACATGTAAGAATCAATGAAGACTAGATTACCGGAAAGATTCCAGTGAAACGAGGCGTTAGGCAAGGTGACACAATCTCACCTAAGTTATTTACCCTAGCTATGGAAGATATATTCAAACGTTTATCATGGGAAGAGAAGGGTATCAATATAGACGGAAAACGCCTCAACCACTTACGATTTGCGGACGACATCGTTCTCTTCAGCAGTAACACAAATGACTTGACAACAATGATTCAAGAACTGAAAGATGCTTCCCAAGCTGTAGGCCTCAAAATTAACCTCCAAAAAACTAAACTTCTGAGCCCTGACAATATAAAAGTCTCCATTGGAAATCATGAGCTATATATATATATATATATATATATATATATATATATATATATATATATATATATATATATATCTAAGACACAACATCTAGCTTGGGAAAGAAAATCAGACAGCAGAGATCACCGGAAGAATCAATCTCACCTGGATAGCATTCGGGAAACTTAGCTATATCTACCGCAACCCGACTATACCAGTGAATTTGAAAAAGAAGGTCTACAATATGTGTATCCTCTCAGTAACAACTCGACTCGAGACTGTGGCACTTACAGTGGGCAGTGCAAATCGACTCCGAGTCTGTCAAAGGGCAATAGAGAGAACAATGCTGGGTGTAAGCCTAAGAGAGAGGATCAGAAACGAAGAGATAAGGAGAACAACAAGGGTCTGTGACGTTGTAGTAGTAGTAGTTGTAGAGGATAGTCTCAGGTGGCGTTGTGCAGGCACGTTGCTAGAAACAATTTGAAATGGACCAAAACACTAATGCAGTGGCGTCCAAGGAGAACAAAAGGAAGTGTGGGGCGTCCTCAAGCGAGATGAATAGATGACATTCAACGACATGCTGGGAAAAACTGGATGCAAACCGCACAGCAAAGGTTGGCATGGAAATCACTGGAAGAGGCCTATGTAAAGGAGTGGATGTCTAGAGGCTGAAGACGAAGAAGAGGAAGAAGAAGAAGTAGGTTCCAGATTGTGAGGGGCAACAATCTGTCTGTCCGTCACTGCGTCTCAGATGATGTATAGCTATAGAACGTTATCCAGGTTCCTCTCTCTGATTAGACTCCATAACTTCGATAGTTGCTTGGTGTAACACATTGCCTCTGGTTGTTTACTCCCATCAACCAAGAGTTGTGGTTTAAGAGTGAGTTGCGCTTAACCAAACATGTGAATCACAATGTCAAACATCATATGGCATACTTAAGATACTCTACCCAAATTGTTGTTGAGTTAAAGTTGTGCTTGTTTAATTCTTTCTGGAGTGTGCTACTGCTACTGTGTGTATGGATCGGCACTGTTGCAGAGAGATTCAGAATTCCTGCTATCGTTTCTCCCACAGCATCAGGAAATTTAACCGGATTATGTGGAAAACGTACTTCCTTCGAAACACCTCGTATAATAAAATCGATTTTGCAGTGATTATTAAACAACGTTCATTTTCTCCGCACAAAGCAATATTTGTACTCAAAGGCAAGCAATCATAATTGAATATTCATAGAAAATTTCGAATGTCTGAAATAAGAACGTAAGTTTTCATCTACATTCGTGCTAAAATTGCAGTTTATGCGCCAACCCGAAAATTAGATTTTTCTACACGAAACGTCGAAAAAATGAGCAGATAAAAATGCAGCTTTCCATTGCATACGAAATTTTTCCGCCGATCTCGCTAATTTAGCTTTATTTGCAGTCTAAACATTGTCTATTACGGCGAGGCTTTCAATGCCCGTCCAGTTATTTCGTGTCTAGCTTGGATGTTTACGTTTGACTTTTCTACGTCGAACTCCGTAATTTATGAATTGTATTTCTTTGGCCGTTGCGGATTTTTGTTTTTATCGAAAACTTCATAAAAATAGTTTTGGCGCAATCAGTTTTCCGAAACGCCGATTGTTTGGGAAATTGTTTGCTTGTATCGTAAATTTTCCCCGCCAATTTATCAATATATTCTCCACCGAGAGTTCGATGACAGAGACGAATTGATAACCGCCTTAAAAACGTCTATATCCATTAATAAAATAATATTAAACTGTGTGACTACTAGTAATTGTAAATGATCGATTTTAAAAGAACTTTGCGGTAAAACGAATCCGATCCAATTGGGAATAAGAAGTCTGACAAATGAAAATGGTACTGCTGGTGAATAAAGAATACAAAAACTCCAAAACCCGTGCTTTTGATTAATTTTTTTAATACGTAGACGTCGTGAATTGCAATGGCTGAACACGTGCAGCATTGCAAAAATTCGCATTTATTAGACTTTATTTTTAAATTAATTTAATTTTGTACCTTTGTGTCGTAACCATATTAAATGACAAGTACTTAAGTTGCTAAATACGACTTCGCTCTAGCTATAGTTTAAATACTAGCTATAGCTATAGTTTAAATAAATAGTGGTTTTTAAAGACACGAGTTAGCATCCCGCTTTAAGCTAAAATCTAAACCCTTCCCAAAAAGTCAAGGAGCAAAAATAGGATACTGTTGCAATAGCTGGAAATACATTTGTGACAGCTGGGAGTCCTGTTTCTCATGCAGGACCAAAAAAGGAACTCATACCGGTGTTGTTTAGGAGGGGAGGAAGCTCTATCTCATCTCATAATCAGCTGCTCACTAAACCATGATCAGAAAATTCATGGAGCCCGAAAAACAATGCGGTGCTGTACTTGCTCGAAAGTACAAAACCCTTCTAAGGGAGTGGTAGGAAAGTCACAATGCAGCGTTCTAGTCATCAAGGTCAAAGATTAGGATTAGGAAAAGGTTTCGTTTTTATGCGTGGTTCTACGTTTGCTCTATCTTATAATGAATTCATTCGTTTTTTTCGTCTGCTTCAGTTGCATACAAAAATTGTATACTGAACAACAAACAAATAATATTTCGATATAAATTTTATCTTAGAAAATAAAGAACAATTTTATTTTGTAGGCTTTATGTAGTTCTTACTATATTTTCTTTTTTTTTTCGACTAGGTTAATATTAGTGGCTTTTAAGCTGGACTTTTATTTTTAAGACTAAGATTATTATTATTATTATTATTATTATTATTATTAATTATTATTAATTATTATTATTATTATTATTATTATTATTATTATTATTATTATTATTATTATTATTATAGACTAAAATAAAATATGATCATTTGGATAATGTTTGCACTTAATGTAAAATTGTAGCATTAACATTGTCAAGATACAAGAATAAAATCAAAGCATAACGCAAAAATTTATAGGTAATATTAGCCTACCGACCTACCGTTTTGGAAAATTCGATATTGACCTTTAACACACATTTATTCCCTCGGAAACAAGGTCAAGAATCTTCTGCCGGCTTGTTTGGATTTGAATCTTTCAATAAAACAGCGGCGGAACGTCGATCTACTATAAAAATTGAAAAACCTGTTCCTTTCAAGAAAATAAACGGTCATTTTTTTTGAACCCCTGCATGTAAGAAGTCCGGTAACAAATTTTTGGTCCACTCGAAACTTTTCTGTTCGTTGAACTGTCAAACGATCGAAGGGACCTTCTTTAATTTAGACCTTTTTTTTGAGGATCATCCATTTTTTGCAAGAAAATTATATACTGTTACGGGAAAAACAAAAAAAAAATTAGTCGGGGGTTTGAATATGTGATTTACTTGTTCTGTCTAAATTTAGTATTGTAATTTTGTTTTCGGTTTAGTAGCTTTTAAATTTGACTGTGCCAGAATTGTAATATTGAATTGAATATTCTATTATTATTATTAAAACACGCAATATTTAATAGAGAAAACAAAACAATGATATGGTCATTCAACAACGCTATTAGATCCTTCTTCTTTCGCCGTTTTTATCCTGCACAGTTTTCTTACATTCCAGGCCCCTACTCACAGATTTCTTTAAAACTATCGCATGCCGAACGTATGTCTCCCATCTCAGTGCCGGTAGTCCTCTTCGTCTTCCTCCTGGAGGGTCTCATCCCAGTACTCATTTTGGCCACCTGTGTTCTGGGATTTTTGTAGGTGACCACACTATTGTAATGCTGTTTTCTAATTTCCTTGTTATCGAGTATTTTATTCCCATTCGTTGCCAAATTTCTGCAGCTCTTATTTTGCCAGTTCTTGTGACTTGTAGACATCTTCTTATAAAGTCCAATTGGACTGTTCTTATTTTGTTTCTTCTTGCTCTTGCTCTTGAGGCTTGTTTTCCTCGTGCTATTTTTGTCTCTACATCCCTTAAATAGATACTTGAAAGTTTGACAGCTATTAATAATTTCGTTCTCTAACGTCAAACCTAAATTTGCAACTTGTTGTCCAATACAAAAATATTCGGTTTTACCCATATTTATTTTCAGTCCCCACAGTTCGTACTCTTCTTTTAGCTTTCTTATCATGTATTCCCTGTCATCTTTTTCTCGTGCAAAAATAGCTGGACTATCAGCGAAAAGTAGAATGCAATATATTTCCTTGGATCGGTATTTCCTCTTCTGCTAGTATAAAACTTTTAGGAATTACACTGGGAGATAATTTGGGCTGGGCTAACTTACACTGTTGTCCTGCAGCTTATTGGGCTCATAAGCTTCAAAAGAAGAGAAAAGAGTACGGGTCATAGCGTGTGCAGGTTATCTAGAGCCTATCTTTCAAAGATGGAAAATCATGCTGCTTCTATGTCTGTACATCTGTTATCAACTGCTGGAAGTACACAGAGGCAGAAACACACTAATTATCATGATTATCCTACCCAAAAAAGTCATTACACAAAAACTACCGTCCAAAGTGACTAAAAAAGAAATAAAATGAAAAAACAAGAATGCAAATATAAAAAAGGCTCATTCAAAAGCATTGTTTCTACTCCGTGGGGACGTATATGGACACCGCCATCATGATTGGGTATGCTATCTAGTGGTATGTATTTTTTGATTTGATCTGTAATATTTTGAATGTCTTTCTCTCTTGATATGTCATAGTCTGGTTTTATGTTGTTTTCTTTTAGTGCTGTGTATGTCACTGTCACTCTTTTACATTTTACGTTATTGATATATTTTTGCATGTACAATATGACTTGCCTCAATTGTATTACTTTTTAAAGCAGGAAATGACCAATGAAAGATCTATCTATCTATCTCTAGTTTCCTCTCACTTTCATTTTTTTTCAAAATAACTCTCGCGTTCTGCGCGCACGCGACGCCACTGGGGAAACTGTAAGTTTAGATAGCTGTTTATGAAACAGAAATTGAGATTTACCGGAAAAGGAATGCCGTCTTACAACTGCTACACACAAGGTGGATACGATAAAACCGTTTATCGTCGAAGAAAACGTTTTCACTTCAAATAAGGCATCGCGTGTTCCATTTTTACCGAAACAAACAAAATTTTCTTAAAGAAATTCGCCGTTGCGGCTCGATATTCTCGTGTAGTGAAAAGCGATCGCAACAATTTCAAACTAGAATTGGTTTGCTGTTAATTTAGAAGAAAAAATATCTATTTGGTCATGAAATTTCCCAAATTCGAATACACTCGAAGTGTACACAGGGTGGATGATTTGAAGAAAAAAAGTTTATATAAATACAGGTCAGCAATCGCTTTATTCTTGATAACACAGAGTGTTCAAGTGTAAGAAAGAAAATGACTTTTCCTCAATTTCATTAAAACTGCTTTAAATACTTTGATTATTGTTTGGTAGGAGCTCACAGTGCATAGAAATGCTTATTTTCGGGCGATTTTTTTTTACTTTCACCAGTAATGTCGCGGTAAGCACGATGAATATTTCTATTGAAGAAAATACTACAACACTGCTTTTTGCAATTTTCCAGAGAAAAAATGAAAAACAATCGAAACCTTATTATATCATTAGAAATAAATTAAATCACAATTGAATATTGAATATGAAAAAGTAGTATTAAAAAGCGTGAACATTGTTTCTTTGCATTATGGGTCTAAAGCATATTCAATCATAATTAGGAAAAACGTTTTTTTTTTATTCTTAACATTACAAGTTCTGTTCAATACAAACTTTATGACTTAACTAATAAAAACTAATTACATGACTGTTTTAACTAAAAAAACCATTAGCAAAGAGCTAGAACTGAATTGATGTAAAATATAAATAAATTTATATCCAGCAATCGTTTTCAATTTATCTATCACTCTATACATCCATATAAATTTCACTAAAGACCTTCATCATAGTGTTACTAAAATGAGAATGATGTTACAAGAACAAAATTACCACCACTGCACAGACTTTGCATTTCAACTGGCTCTTTTTTTTGTTTTCCTTTTTTGGAAAGTTTTTGTCTCCCTTCTTGCCGTCTAAGTTCATTTTGTAATTTGTTTTAAAAAACGATTACCGATTCGAATTTTATATTGCTTTATATCATTGACAATATGATATAATGATAATTGATAATATTTTATTGCATAAACTTACAAATAACATAGATTCACTTATTCCAACACCGAATCACATAATAATATTGTTTTAATTTCGGCTAACAGAATAAGGCTAACAGAAATATCGATCGTTTCAAAAAAATTTCTATCGGAATTTATTGACGATCAGCGACGATGCTTAAATCTGTGTCACTGATTTAATTTATAGTTCATCAAATATGGGTGGGTGTCATTTTAAGATTAAACAAATTCCAAATTGTTTTAAACGCACCCAAGTCGCTCTAATAAGGTAAGTATATCGCGCACAGCACAAAAAAAATCTTATTGTATTTTTCGATTATATTGACCGATTAAGTGGGTGTTTTTGTTATATACGATACACATTAGGCGAAAAATATGTAAATTATATACAATGAACTGTCGTTCAAGTATCATCAACTTGATGTAGATTTATAGGCGAACATAATTGAATCTTGTCAAAGATACACCTGTCTAGCAGTAAAAGCAAGTGGGAAACAAGTAAACTACTAAACGAATTTCTTACTAAGGACTTGTGGGGGTGTCAAGTAAATTAAGAGTTACGAAGAATCAAATAACTATAGTTGACGAAATGATGATGACTGATGGCTTAAAAAATCAAAAATTTCCACCATAGCGCAGAAAAAGCGCAGAAGAATACCCCATACAATATAGCAGCAATTGTCGTAGTACTGCGTTATATGTAATGGCTGCACATTGCATATTGCAAAATTTTTCTGCTTTGCCTTTGGAGCAATATCGAAGGTAATATCAACGTCGGTCTCGTGACATCACCGCCTTCGTACCTCGTTCTTTTTGAGACGTACACAATACCTCTATCAAAGCCCAAACGTCCTTATTTGAAAGGTTACGGCACAAACACGAGTTTAAAAGGATCTTTTTGAAAAACAACTTTTGGCGTCGTATTTCATGACATTTATAATCCGCATATTCGGAATATAACCATGGAAAAAAAACTTCCTCAGTGCCGTTCGTGACAAAGCACTCCCTAACGCAGCACAAAAATTTATTTCAACGAGTATTAAAAATATTTTAAGTCAGGGCGTTCCGTAAGTGTGGCAATACAGAAATATTTTTTTTGTTATTGTTATTGAATTTTGTTTTGACTTTGCAAAACTATTTGAAAAAAATACAGAATATTTCAAAAAATATTCGTATTACGGCCTTGTAACGAAATAGATTTCGCCACACGGTTAGTCAATTATAAAATTTTCGGTTCATCGATATTTAAAATCCGCAACGCATTGCGTTCGCAAAATACCTTGTGACGTCATCGAAATCAGGTACGTAGCCAAACCATTGAAGTGCGAGGCATTGTTTTTATTCCTCTCTCCTGAATTCACCTAATCGACGGAATGAATTATCGTTGCGATGAGACCGTGTGAAGTTTTTCGGTAGTTCTCTTTCCTTTTCAGCTCACTTCGAAGAAGGTTCAACTAGCAATTTGGTTGCTTTATAGAGGGTACAGCTGCATGAATGCAATATTAATATCTGATTTAATATCTATTTCTGATTTTGTTGTAAACTATGGATTGTTTAGTAGTTTGCAGAATTTGACAAATAATCGCTAAAAAGTGCTGTAATGGATTTGGTATATTATGTGGCCTTCGTTTTTGGTACCGAAATCTGTTATTATCTTCTCTCTTCATTTTCCTTTAAAATGTATAATCGAACACTGATTCTGCCGGTCCTATTTTAGCGTATAGCCAAGAAAAAGCCATATTACCGTTGCTGTGATTTACCACTAGGCGAATTTCTGGTCGCATTGCTAGATTTACTGTGGACCCCGGGGTTAAACGAAAACCAGCGAGGTAAGTGGTTTTTTTATCTCTATTTGATATTAATTGTAAAGTGACTTTTAAAATACTTGCACGTATCTTTTGCTTTTCATTTGTGGGTCGAAACATCTCTTTTCTCTGGAGCGGTGTCCGATAGCTATTTTCATCTATTATATGCCGTAATTACTTTTTACTGTCAGTCCTTCAGAGCTTGACTGAAACTAGGCTCTGAAGCTCTGAAGAAGCCAACAGGATGATTGGCGAAACGTCTGCAAGTTCGACTCAGCAAAAACCGACGCAGGAGGAATCCAGAAGTTTTGTAAAAAGTATTACAGTGGAAGTTTCTTTGAAAAATTTACTGCAAATCTTGTTCGCTTTTAAGATTGCAATTTTTATGCAAGAATTAGTGCATTTTTTTATATTGTTAATCCAATCCGCCAGTTCAACAGCTCCAGCCTACTAGGAGTACTTTGGAACATCCCGGAGAGAACAAGTAAACAGCCTGGGAGGTTTGAGGAGTTGCGGGTGGTTTCATCAAAAATTTGTTATTAAATGTTTTTTATAATAATTTTCTTGTTTACCTCTGGTTAGCATTTTGCGTTCATTAGTCACCGCGGTTAAAACAACGGGAAGGTGGGTTTGTCCTTTTTTCCAACTTCAGTTATTGTTATAAAAAGATTGGCGCTTAACAAAATTAAAATCCCTATTTAAGGTAAAACTCTTTCTCCACAGCTCTCTTTTTCTTCTCATGCCCTTTGCATATACGCATGTTGGCGATCCCCTATACTTCTGTATTCTCTATATCATATGTAGGGTGCCGATCGATTATTTAAATTTATAACCAAACAAAAGACTCACTAGGTGGAGAAAAAATAATGTATTTTTGTAAATAATTAATAAAAATTAATATTAGGCAAACTAAAAAGTAGGACAATTGCTGAAATCAATAAAGTATCTGGATACAGGGCACACAATTTGGCAAACCTTGAAAAACACTCGCAGGAAATAATCAACTGGGTGCTTTGCTAAGCTCTTAATAATACCCAATAAGGTGTTATATATATTATTATATATATCTGCAGTAATTTTTTTTTGTGTTGCCACCCTTTTATACCCTATAAAATTGAAAATATTTTCAAAATGTCTATCCTTCTATTTTATGCAGAGATCATTAAAACAAATTTTCGAAATCATACTATTGTGCTATTGTGCATAAGGAATTCATTTTATTATATTATCCCGAAACATGTAAGTTAATGCTGATGACGTGTAACATGGATCGTATCTCAACAAGGCGGCTCCGATCGACAATGAGGAGTAGACAATTGTTTCTCGATTCATTCAACAATGTGTTCAGGACACACTAATAAAACAGGGGGATGCAAAGCCAGCGTTGTGTAGTTTTAGTAATCGGCCTCGGATACAATATCCGCAGTTCCATTCGCTTGACATGCCGATCAATCTGTTTAGGAGGTTGTTTTCCTATCTGTAATAGTATCGACTTGTCGACGCGTTATGGGTTTGCTAGTGAAATTAATATACTTGCCCAAAACATTGTAGTCGCTATGAAAATCTACCATTTTTTCATCTCTTAATTCATTTTAAATTCTGTCAATCTCATTCGTTACATAAACTCGAAAAAATTGTTTCCTTAATTATTACGAACATTATAAACATATTTATTCACGTTTACTTTGGAAACAATTACTAAATAGTTTGGAGGAAAACATTTTTTGAACCTCAATCCTGACTGACTTGCTGTATTTTTTTGTACGAGCATTTATTTGGTCAGGCAAGCCTTCATGTAGCCACACTAGTCTTTATGATAAAAAAGAAAAAATGTATTAAAATTTTACCAATGGGACATTACAGTCGGGACAATAAATTCAAGTATTTTTTAAAATTAACTAAATAAAAATAAACACAAAATTTTTAACGTATACATTTTTTATATCAATTTTAAATGATAACAACTAATTAAGTAATAAAAATATATCATTTTAACTCTCCAGAGTTTATGGAGTAGCTCGGATTATTGTTTATTTTGCTTGAATGCCTAGGATTTTGACATCTGAGACCATCTCATTTCAGATGATAAAACAAGAATTACGTTGACTTTTTGCAAGTTCGCTGAATTATGTAGCATTTGTTACTTTAGAACGCTTAACTTTGATTCCCATCCAGACAACTCTCTTCACCAAACCGTGATCTACATCTCCTTTACCATGTGATGACGCAAAAAAGTTCCATACAACTTTAGATAACAAGTCTGGTTTTTGGCAGTTTCCCATTTAAAGTAAAACATATTACAAGCTTAAAAGTCATAGGTTTGTGAATGCCGGGAAAGTGAAATCAAAATTACGTCCACCTTCCTGGGATTTAATTTAAGTAAGGAAATAAATAGAAAATTATGGACTGAACTAAAAAATTTCTAATTTGTATTACAGACGAGACCAGAGAAATTATAAAAAAAAAACAACGAAGGTAACATTTTATACGTCTTGCGTACAAATTTCACAAAAATTCGAAAAGGTCTCCTGTCACTTTTATCCAAATATGTAGTTTTTGTTGATTAGCTTTTTACTCCTTAAACATTAATTATAAATGAAATATAATACGTAATAGGTGACAACTATTTTTCACGTCTTTGGTTGGCATCCTGCTCGGAAAGGCTCTAACGCATTTAAAATGCTACAAAAATTGACGCACACTGTATAATAACACTTTACGATTTGTATGATATTGCATGTTGCATTCTTACGATTATAGATTCGGATTTTAAAGAGAATATTGAGCTTTGGAAACCATGCGACCCAAGAAAATTATTAAAACGTGCTGATGGTGGAACAAAAATGTATATATTTTCCGGTATTCGAAAATTTGAAAACAATTTATTGTCAATTGTACGTCCACTTTAACAACTAAAATATTTATTTCTCTGCTTTAAATCTGATGCTGAAGGCTGATTTAATAAACATAAAGGTAAGAAAAGAAATTTATAATAATATAAAATCACCATTGATCGTTATTATCGAAAAAATGAGTTTGTGGCAAATTTTGTTTTATTCAAAAATTCTTTCCCGAAGTTGCAGTATTTTGCAGCGGAGAGAAGTGATGGTACTAGAAATAAGGTAAAATCACAATAATAAAAACGTTTAAGATTAAATAAGGTTTCATTTGAATAACAAATATTCCGGAAGTTTATCGCATTGTACTTGGAAATTAAGGATGAACAAAATAGTATGAAAGACACTTTTAGCTTCTGTTAAAATTCCTGTATTAGAAAATATCGATCATGAGTTTATACACAACTGACCATAATGTTTGTTCTTGTCGGTCAATCAAAACTGTCCGGTTTATTAAAAATAGAAACTCTACATTTTTGTAGATGTACAAATTTGAATATGGTCCTATATTTTTCGTTTTTCAAACAATCACTATGGGATCGTCTGAATATTTTTTCTTAAGGATCTTTGAGGTATATTCAAGATAATAATCGTTGCTTAAATAAATTCGCATATAATGGAGACTGAAAATAAATAGTAAAACAAACTTAATTCACATTGACATTCTAGCCTAAAATATGTTATAAAAATATATTGCTTGTGGTGAAGCTTACGACACCAAAATCTAGACATATAGTATTGGCATACAGCTACTAGATAATATAAGAGCCGTAATGACCTGCAATTTTATTGCCATTTTCTTTATAAACAGCTTTATTCACACACTTAATTGTTTTTAAGCCTGAACATAAGAACATAGGAATATGCCAAGACTGAAAACTTGTTGAACTTGGTTGAAGGTGATATTTGAAATGTCATTGATTGGTCTCTTTTCAAAATAATTTGATGTTGGTTTCAACATAAGCAGCGGCTCCGTAATATCTAATAGCTATATAATCTTATGGTACATAAATACATATCACAGAAGGCATATTTCACAAACTAGGTAACTAAAAAATTAATGAAAATTGTTGAGTATTTGGACTAAGTTTTGGAAGCACATTTTAGGAATATTTTAAGAGGTATGGTAAAAATTTAATAAAATTTTAATCACTCAAACACTCTGAAGCATACTTGAAACCCAAGCCAGAAGAAAAATGTAACAATTGAGAATGTGTTTTCCAGGGCACGACGCCCCAGACGTCACAAGTCATTAGATCCTACCCTTGAGAACTTAAAAGGACCCCGACCTCATTTACACCGCCTAATAGCCCCCAATCTTCGTCCATGATTGACCAGCTTGAATTTTAATTAACGCCCTTCCGATTACTAGTAGTCGAGACGCGAATTGCGTCAAATTTCACAAACTTTGAAGGTTTTCCCCGAGGTTAAAGGCAACAAAAATAAAGATTTGCGTATTGGTTCTGCGCTTTCGTTGCAAATTTTGTCAAATTCTACGTAATTTTTTTGCAAAAATGATTTTTTTGGACTTTCTACCGTTTTCAACATTATTATTAATTTATGAAAATACCAAGTAAGAACGTTGCCTTTAATTTCACTGCTAAGAGCGACAATTCCAACCAATCAGATTTCAGAATTTGGACACTCGATTTGAAATAATTTTTTTTTCTTAATTATGAAAATCTCTCAATAATCGGGTCACCTAGTTGAAATCTAATTTAATATTCGAAAGATTTCCATTTGTCAGTTTTGGGAAGCTATAAGAATACTTTTGTTTAATTACAGTATTGTCATTGCATTTAATTGATTGTGAGGTTTCAATAACAGAAACAATTTATTTTTCATTTAGAAGACTGGTTTGCTTTCTTCTTAACGTAACTTATGGAAATTAAGATGCATCAATAATAAATAAAGTACGTTATATGTCGCGCTAGATCTCCTGGAAGCTTTATATCCCCAGTAGACCCACGGTTTAGGTAACTCACATATAGATAACATTCTAAACGTATAAGCATATTACTACTGATTTGTTGAGACACCAAATGATGGCTTTAGTCTTCTACTAATCGGTGTTCTAGGCATATAAGTTCCATGATCATTTATGAGTCAGGCAAGATGGATTTTCTGGTTGACACATCCGTTTCAGCTTCAATGCCCTTATCTTGATTCCTGTACTCTGAATACCCGCTGTAAGCCAATTGCTGTGCTGAATTGTCATCTCTAAAATGAAGACCCGCGTGGCTGTGGCCAGGAGCGTATTCCTCGTGATGAACGAAATTTGGTTGCTCTCTGCAATGACGATAAAATAGGCTCGAAAACAGGGGAACAAAGAGAAAACTAGAGCCCCGAAAGAATTGAATTCATCCCATAAGTTTTAAGTTGCTGGCAGTAACCCACAACTTTTGCAATGGCTAATAGACCGGAAATAAGACTTAACTTGTCTTTTGTTGAGGGCTTTTTTGTCAATATCGCACCTCTGACGGCGCTCAATATTCTCCGAGAGGTAATTAAATTTCAAATCCCGAACGCTGTTAATTTACTTCTAATTAAACAACTAAACTACCGAAAACTTGAAGCTCGTAAGGAATTTAAGTGCGAGAGTTAATAAATGCAGAATATTAAGCGCGTAAAATTGCATCCGCGAAATTGAATTACGCAGAAAAGTGTCAAAAACATATATTACAGGTTAACTATTGAATACTTGTTTGAATAAGAATTGTACGTACCTGAAATGGGTTGGATATGCGAGACCGGATGGTGAATAATGAGGTCCAGCAAACTGGCTCGATCCAAAGTTTGATGGAAAGTTAGGCTTGCAGAATTTAAAGTACGCGATTACGCCTAAAAAATCCAAGTAAAAATATCACTATATTAAGGCCGAGTACCGCAAAACTTTGACATACCTGGGACTACAAGAGCGAGGAAACCCAACACTTTCTGGAAGGAAGCCAACCCGAGAATGAAAGGTAAGAATAGCAACAATTTAAGCTTGAAGATTTTCAGCACCAACAACATCGGAATCAGGAGCTTCTTGAGTTTTTTGCGTTCTGAAAATGATACGGTACAGAATGGGTTATAAACCAGACCTTTATGACGTACTAAAAAGCGAATCCTTTTTATCTTCCAGTACATCGATTTCGTCTACGACCTCGTCAATGAAGCGCGGAGAGTATCTTCCGTTCTCGGTTACTTGGTTATCGAAGTCGACTTCGATCGCAGTCGATTTCATAAACTTTTCTACCTGCCGGCGGGTTATATTTTAAAACATTACCAGGGGACAGAGGAACCCGCGGAGACTCACCTTTCTGAGGACGAATTTAACCAGTTGATCCCATTCCGAATCGTCTGATCTCGGCGATTGAGAATACTCGTACGGTTCCTGACTAATGGACCTCAGATGGGTTTCCGACAACCTCAAGAGACGCGCGTTTTCAGTTAAAGTGTAGCTAGGCTGCAATAAATAAAGGGAACCTAAAAATTTGCACTATTTCATAGTTGTTGTTTCTTCATAATTGTGGTTCCGTTTGCAAGAAATGGTAAAAAATATGGCAGTAAAATAACTGAAATAAATTTACAAACGTAGAATATACTTCTTTATTTACTACTACTTATTCATAGGTTAGAAGTATTATTTAATTTATTCGAAGTTAATATTTTTTAACCATTTTAAGATATACAAGCGTATATACGTGAAATTTGTACAATGTACAATGGTGATCAAGTGTAACATATTATCATCGAAACTATATAGTATTGAAGCTTTGGACTTACTTATATGTTATATATTATATGTTTTATAAAAGGTTCCTAAATTACGCAGAACCATGCTATTATAATTTGCTTGCTCCAAGGTTGAAAAATCTGTCAACAAAGCAATTTAAAAAAATACGTCAAGAGGCTCCTGTCGGCTAATGCTTTCTACAGCCGTTAAGAATTTTGAATATATTTGACAGCACTCAAATGATCTATGGTTTCTTTTCAAAATGTGTTTTTAAGCCTGAGTTTTGATCGTTATGCATTTGCTTGTAATACTCGTCTTATACATTTTTTTAAGTTGCCATGTACGCTGTGTCCCTGCGACGTAGTCATGTTTTCGTAAATGGTTTCGTCCTTTTGAAAAAAAAAGTATTTTTTTTATATAACATCCTATATTTCATAGGCCATTTTGATTCCGCTTGGTACGAGCTTCTCAAAAATGTATAACAGCATCGGGTAATTTCTAAAAATGACTTTGTAAAAATGATTTTTTTTATTTTCATGAAGAAATTAGGGCCTTGGAAAAAGAATTTATTAAACTTTTAAAATAGTTATTTATTCCTGACAATACTTACAAAATAACTCCTAAAATTTGCATGAAGTCAACTTAGTTTAATTTACAATAATATTAAAAATAATTTAATATTACAATTAGTTTTTGGAGGAAATTAAGCGAGACCAGCCTTTTTTTAGGAAGGTAATTCGGTGGGATGAAATCTTTCATAAGCAGCGCCGATATATTTAATAAACAAAATACTCGGCACTGGCATCAAGAAAATCAAAACATAATGTGTGAGCGAGAACAAGTACGTTTTGGTTTCAGTGTTGCCTATTTCATACTAGGCACTAAAATTGTATATCATATTTAGGTGTTTTGACTGCCGAGTTGTATATGTATATGTATGTTATATCAGTGTTATTAAATAATATAAAGAAGGCCCTTTTTAGAGGACAATTTTGAAGACAAATCCTTTTTCGAAAGCCAATCGCAAATACCTTCATGAAATTAAAAAAAAAAAAAACAATTTTGTGAAGTTATTTATGCAAATAATCCCATACTGCTATATATTTTTGAGAAGCAGATACCAAGCAGTATCAAATTCACCTATAACATATATATTGAATTCCATGAAAAATAAAACAAATTTTATTTTTTTCCAAAAAACGAAACCGTTAACTGACTACGCCACACATCTATATCGGATGGGCTTTTCACCTATCCGACATTTCATTCCCGAGATACAAGAGGTGCTCCAAAACTTCAAATTTCCAAAATGGCCCTGGATTTTAAAAACTGTGAATATTTTGTTAACATCATCTTTCGTTTCACAAGAAAATACCAAAGGTATGCGAAAACGCAAAGGCTCTATCTTTACTAATTACAGACATGCTCCTCAGTAATTGTATATTTAATATGTAAGTTGTAAAACACTACGGTACGGAGCGTCGTGAATATGCCTATATAAAAGAGATCAATTTGACATTTGGTTTGTTCTTATTTTCCTAATAATTAATTCTAATTGTCATCAGTGTTGCTGGGTGTCAGCAATTCACCGTTTGACAATGACGCCTCTTAAAGGTATTATTACTTCATAGTTAATAACAAATATATTTTTTCCTCTGGTTCATACAGTTAGTTGACTGCTGCCCCGGAAGTAAAAGTCCATCGAGCCTTGCGATGCGATGACATTCGATTTGAAAGAAAAACACTCCTATCAATACTTATGCAAATATCAATATTCCCTTGGACGAGCAATATAAACTTTGATACTTGGAACAAAAAGCCATTAACGGATTTTGTTTGTCGACCAAAGCTTCATATATGCGGAGTGTTATTCCACACAAATCGCTGAATCCGTTTTAATGTCAGCCAGAAATCCCATCCCGATTTAAAATCCATAAACTAATAAATCGGAGTATTTACATTGAATAATCAATCAATCGCAATTAATTTATCGAGGATCATGAAAACTCTTTTGCATATATTTGTGGACAACAAATTAACAGCAGCTTAAAATATTAAAGAACCTAATTTATAGGCACATGTGGGATGAAGATGCAAGGAAAGAAATGAAATAAAAATATGTAGCACATACGGGGACGGTGTTTTGAGCCACAGAAATAGATTTCTGGAGCAGAGCAGTTGAAAAATTTAAAACCTTAGAACAAAACAGTTTGTACCGTACCCTTAAAGAGAGGAGAGGATGTCAGATGAGTTCCATTAAATGTGCTAGAATCAAGGGAAAGTGAGAGAAACGGGTTTGCTGCTGAATAACAGAGAGGAATAGAGATTGGTATTGGTAAATGAAGTAGTTTTTATTGTGTAGTAGCGAACCAAGAGGTATATAAACATTTTGGAAATTACCAGAAGCTAATCAAAATGGAAGTTTTGAAAATACGATTCCACCAATAGCCGTGTTTATGTGGTTTTCACGAAATTTGCAATTTGCCATCTAAAAGTTTTGGTTAGTTTTGGTTTTGGTTAATTTTAATTCATCTCCAAAAAAAGGAGTTTACCTACCTTATCGAAGAAGTCATCTAACGAGGAGAGTGCCCGAGATTGAAAACAGGACGCCAAATCTCCATTCAAGCAGAAGGAATTTGTTTTCGCCAGGTATGGATCCTGGTCGGGCCCAGTACCTAGACCGATCCAGTCTAGCAAGTTCCGCCCTGAAACTTAGTAATATTAGACGGAGTTCCTTTATATTCTTGAATATTTTTCAGCGCAGTGTTTTCGCGTCACAAGAAAGTAAACAAATTCGCCGGCAGGGCGACGCATAGAAGCAAAATATTTACAGACACACAAATTTATTTCAACAAATGGATTCATTTTAATATTAAATTCTATAGACGAGACAAGTCGGCTATTTACAAAATGAAATTATATTTCCTCTCCCGGTTTGCCTTTCGCGGCATATTTGCGATGATATAAAAGCCAATCTTCGGGTAGGTCCGTATTGGATGATTCTGTTCTGAATTTTTAGTTAAGTCGCGGATGGTTTAGTATTCCTATTGAATTAATTAATTATTTTAGAGAACAGACGAGAAGACTGTTTATCCAATGTTAATATATGATTCTGGATGAATACCAATAATAACTAAAGTTTCCAGGCGAATTCTAGCCAATGACTATTCATACTTAACCTCTGAGGTATTTACAGAACAATTATAAACAATAACTATTACAAATAAACACAATATATCTATCATTTTTGTTTTACCTGACACAACACATATACACACAAGCAGAGGGTGAATTCCAAAAAATTTCCTATTTATGAGAAGAGAATAGAACGGCTTTTGTTTTTTCCTGTGCCTGTACCTGAAAGTAAGTTTTTCATGTAAGTGCAAAGGCGTATGGTAGAAAATAACTTGTATACAAAAAATAGCAAATTTGGTTTAAATACATTATTAATCCTCCATCATTCTAATTCATTTACTTTCGCTGACACTCTGTCATATTTACAGAGCTTGCAAATAAACCTACAATACGAATTTTTCAAACCTACTCCCTGTAAGATTATCACAGGTTCTTCTACATTTTAAAGTTTATGACTATATTTTTATACGCTGATCGAAGAGCTAAATAATCATAACCTTTTTAATAAAGGAGAAATCATCCTCAGATATTATTCCTACACATAAATGTTGAAATTTTAGTTTAAAAATGTTTTTTTTTGTTCTTTCGACTAAATAATATAACATTGAACTTATTGAAGTTTTATTCCAGCACGATGCATGTTTACCAATAATACATGTCTTTTCAGTTGTTAATGTCCTCGGTATGAAGTACTGGATGCTTGAAGAATAAAAATTATAATTTCCTGTGGTCCATATTTCCATTTATATTAATTTTCTGTGATAGTTTAACAATCTTATTTCTGTTTTTAGGAGCCACGATTTTTATGAAAATTACTTTTAATTAGGACATCCATGAAACTAACCTGAAATAGAAAAAGACAGCTAGGCCTAGCTTCTAGAAAAACTCCTGAAAATTGGCAAAAATTTTTGGTTTTCCTGAAGTATTTTCCAACAAAGACTGAAATACAGACGTACTTAGTAAAATCCATAAAAATACCCATTTTCATTAATGATTTAAAAAGGGAAAAATGTTGAGTCTAGATGGAAAATACCGATTTTTTTTTTATTTTTTATTGAACTTATTCTGGAACATTACTCATTCTCAGGTATTGCAGATACACAAAATTGTCACCTTTAAAAATAGTCAAAATATATTCAAGCCCTTAGTTCAAACTAGGATAAGTCGTTAAGCGATTTAAAGTGATTTCACAAACTATCTTCAACAAAAATCAATAAACAGGTATGAAAGTTAAGATGCAGTATAAGGAATTGATGGGTTTGATGTAATACAATCAATTTCTTAGTCGTGTTCGGCAATTTGATTGCTTTCTTTAAATCAACATAATAAAAAACAACTACCTTCTCAGTATTATTACCAAACTTTTAGTGCACAACCCTGAAATCCAAGGTTTTTTTGAACAAGTGGGTCATGTACACAGAAACCGCAAAAAATGCTCTGAAATGTGAGGACACGGTTCAAGATGGAGGCTAAAAACTTTTATTTTATTTATCAAATACCATGTAGGCCAAAGAGTTTATTTTGAACTGGAAGAACCTAAAAGAGTTTGCATTGATGGTACTTAATCCGGGAAATTTAATTTGACTGTCGTGGAAACCCGTCATGAATTAGACCGTGAAAAGGAAATAGTGCATTTTTTACATCAATCAATAGAATTTCGTATATTGTTTACCAAGCTGGACAAAGCTAATTATTTTGACAATTTTGGGAACTCCCTATGAAGAATACATGAAGATAAATCTGCCAATTAACAAACAAAATATAAAATGTATTAATAGTTTTCCTTTCAATAATATGTACGTGATCTTTTGCCTAGATTTGTCAGAACGATAAATTAAAAATATTTAGCAATAGCTAATTTATATTGTTTTATACAGATTTGATTAATTTATTTTAATTTTCTTTGTTAAAACTTTTATTCTATCAAAGTCCGCTGTTTTAGAACGCTATTTTGGGTATATTTCAAAGGTTTTAGGGTCCTAAAACTCGGCTAAATAAAAAAACGCCATCTACTTCTTAATATAAAATAATCTTTTACTATACCTCTCTACCATTGGTAATTGGTGTAATATAACAAAGAATCGAATACATATTATCTCTAATCGTCTTCTAAATCAAATTAGATTCTTTTGCTGCAATGTTAGTTTGCATTGAGTTGACCATGGGAAATACAATTTGAATGGATTGTTTTCGAAGATTTCTACTTTGCATGGAAAATTCTCCTTATCACTTCGATGGGCGGTTAATCACTAAAACTACAATCAGTTCTGTTTGACGCTTTAAAACCAACCCATTATTTAAACAAATACAAAAACACAGTTAATAACACATCAAACAAAAATGTCGCAAATACTAAATATGTTCGGCTAAACATAATGTCGCAACCCCCAGCAATAAAGCGACGTCAGGGTTAAATGTTATGAGCCTGACGAGTGCCTAATAATAAATGTGGCAACCCGACAGGTTCCTTTAGCTTGTGACTTAGATGTGGACTACAGAAAATGTTATTGTACTTAACTCACGTCCATTTCCATGTACCCGCTATAGATGCGTGCACTTCGGTGTTATTCGAAACATAACTCTTAAACAAGTAAACTCGCAAACATTCCACAACCCGAACAGCTTCACTGTTAAGTTACGCTGCGATCTCGTATCCGTTAATACAGTTTGTTGACCTCCGTCTTACCTTCTCTGCCATCTTGTTGTTGTCCCGAGTGGACAAAGTTCGGTCCATTCTGGGTCTGCAGCGAAACCAACGTGACCCCGGAAAACAAAAGCAACCACTTTGCGAGTGACAACATGACGAATATCTAACGTACGAAAAGAAAAACGAAAATATCGCGCCGTTTGGCGACCAGGTCAGCTAACTGTACACCGTCGGTATTTAACTGGCGAATCACGTGGAAGTTACACTTGCACTTGGAACGATTTCGCAAGCTTTATCCTCGCAAACGTTGGTATTCCGGGCGATTTGCAGGAGTTGTTGGCCCGCGAGTTATTGGATCGGGAAAAATTTAAGTCGTACCTTTATAGTTTTGGAAGAGGGTGTAGGTAATGTGATTACGTTCGGAATCTCCGGCTTATGTAAGATGTTACCGAATCGTGGGGTTTTGCCCGGGAGAAAGTTTATTTTGCGTGGCTTTTATGACACTAACCTTGCGATAGCGATGATGCATCGAAGCTGATGGCTCCGTTTGAAAATTGTTTTGTTTTTAGGTCGAGTTTGTAGAATTTTATCTCTTTAAAAGCGTTTGATCATTTGAAGCCAATGTTCACTGTGCTTCTGCGATTCGTGTTCCCGATGGTAGGAAAATTAGGTTTCTTATTAGTTCTCATATCATCATAATATCATAATTATCATAATTAATAATCATAATCATAATTAATTAATATTGAGGGTACCTACATCTAAATAGTTTTTTACCATTTTAGTTAGTTTTGGTTAGATAGTTAATTAAATAGTTGGAGTGCATAAAAAGCCCCAATACGCTTTTTTTTAGAACTCATATTATATTTTTCATTCCATTAAATAGTGCCCTTATTAATGATATGAATTACTATATTGTATTTTTAATATTAAAATTTTCGTTTTCTTCTACATCATCATTATACCGGGAGATCAATTATAATGTCTCCCCCCTTTAACTTTTCCATTAAACGTCTGGGGAAAAAATGTCAAACACAAAAGCTATTTGCAAGGTATATATTTATATTACATATACAGATTTTTGCAGCAATGACTCACCGATAAAAGTTACATATTTTTTAATGGAACACCCTGTATATTAGATGCTTAATAAAATCCCCTAAATATTTTTGCATCATAGTATATCCTATATCCAAATCCAATAGTTTTGGAGATATATGCGCTTTTAACATGAAAAATAAAACAATATTCTTGAATTTGTAATTTATATCTTAGGTGGCTGTAAAGTAGGTCGTCACCAAAAAACAAAATGTTTGTTTGTCAGTGGAATTTTGGAAACGTTTATTCAAGCACATACGAGGGCTAAATTGGCTCAAAGGAAATTACGTATAATTAACCCCTGACATTATGAATGATCATCCGGTGCAGATAGAGATATACAAATCCCAATTCAGGCGCGTTCTTGGAGAAATCAGTAGTGACAAAACTCAAAATCATATTATTAGATCAAATTTTATTTTACGACACTAAGATTTTTTATCTGAAACACCACAGAAACTCATCTTCGTCTAAGAAAGAACGATGTTTTACAATTTTGACCTGAAATTTATGGTTTTCAAGATGGGTGATAAGAAAAATATAGGTGCTATTAATAATTGAACCATCTTTTCGACCAACTAACTAAAACTAACCAACTAGAAGGTGTTGGCATCGTTAGTTTGACATTATTTCTAATATTAATATTGTGGACAGTGTTACGAAATATTTTATATGGAAACTGGCGAAGTAAAGTTATTTATTACATTAAACAAAAATGTCGAGAAATGTAGGATTCTGCTCTGAATAATTTTTATCCATTTTATATCATTGTATAAGAGTGATACATGAATACTTACCTGGTCCAAACAAAAACCATACACTAAGTCACGATAATTGAAATCAGAAAACGCCAGGGATTTACACAATTTTCTTTTCAGTTGATTACTTAAAATATGTCTATTATTATGTAAAACTTTCGGGCAAAGGATTTTTTAAATACTTTTTTTGGTGTTCTTTGAATCAAAGTTTGCTGTCTAAGATAACTCCCAGATTCGTGGCACAATCTTTAAAACTTAATTTTGAGTTGCTGACCACTATATTTAGCTTGTGACATCTGATTTTTTTGCAGGTTTACAGGTCATCATTAATGTATGCTTCAAATTGTTTAAAATTGTCAGGGCTGAAGCTACAACAAATTGCTGTTTCTTAAATAGCCAGGTTCTTAAATAGCACACCCTATTTATATTCATAAGCCCGGCTGTTCAAACTTAGTTTAATGTACGTTCCATTAAAATTTACGTTCTTGAAGGACTACAGACAAACATTTTTTAATCAGACTATTAAAATTTCATATATCATCCTACTACGTAGGTAAACTTGGCTGTGAATTGAACATGGCATTTGGTATATATTTCTCCATCTTAAATTAAATAAGACCAAATTAATACTTTCATCATTTCCTACGGAAAAAGAGGATTTTTCCATGAATCCCATACTTCACACCCTAATAGGGGAAGGTCTAGATTCTTCGACAAAAATGTACACTCCATTTTTCAGGCCAATCCGACTAATTATGTCTTTCAGTATCCTTTGAAGCTATTGGGAAGAATAGAGAATATAAATAATATATATAGAATATAAATTATATGGAATATAAAATTCTTGAACGTTTAGTGTAACTTTTACTAACTTTTACTTCCTTATATCCTCGTCGCATCGATAGATGACATTTCACCGAGCTTAGACCGCAACAAAAAGGAACCGGATCTTGTTACCCGAAACACCGACTTTCTCCTTTCGGTTGCAATTTCAGGGTAAACGAACTTTCACGACTTACTAATAAAAATACATTAGTCACTGTAAAATGCAACGAAACTCGAGATGAACTGAAGAGGAGCTTCAAGGAGATATTCAAATCACGATGTTCGTATAGTTCGACCAGAAATATAGTGCTTTTACAACCGACCCCGTTATTAACTTTGCCTAGTGTCTATTACTTTAAAACCGCAACCCTTTATAGAACACCCTGCCGAGCAGACCCTTACCCGTAACCATTCTAGAACCGTCCTGGGAATTTATCTACCTACACTAACAAGCGGGATATAACTATGTTTTACAACCTTTTTCGTCCAGCAATTCTTGAAACATGTACATAAAAAAATAGTACAAAGTGACAATTTATTACGTTCTATTTCGTTACATTTGTCATTACATTTGTCTCAGTATTAATATACAAAATATTAAATATATTTTAATAATCTATAATAAAGAATCAGACACTTAAAAAATCGGCACTATTGCTACTGTCGTTACGTTTATTAATTCTTTGGAACTGAAAATCCATTTTCTTTACAAAAGTACGCAACGACTCTTTTGCTCAACTAATGTTTCACTCTATCAGTACTTCTTCATGCAGCTTTTCTAGGGTTAAAACACTATTCATTTTATAAGCGTCGCAGATTATACGCCTAATTAGATCTGCGTGCTGCTCCTTAAAAACTCGCGAAGTACCAGCATATTCTCCCAGTTTCCTCTTGACTATCCCATCTGCAAAAATTTTTCTTGCAGTTGACTTCGGAACTTTTTTCATGTCACTTTATCGATAAAATCGAATTTTTCGAAAGTATCTACGCTCGTATAAAAAATTTAGATCTCGGTGACGGTAGGTCCTAGGGGACCGTCGTTGGTACAGAAATGATCAGCGTCGAAAAAAATATATTTTTTTTGTGCGGACGTTCTCCGTTCTCGTCTTTTGGTTTTTCCGGAATAACTTTGTAACCGCTTGGGCTACGAAATTGAAATTCACCTTTCAATTTCAAATTCAAATTCAATTCACACTTTTGTTTTTAAGGTTTTCAGCTATTGTACAGGGTGTCCTCGATATTCCGTGCTAAATAAGAAATGTGTTAAGTGTCCTAAATTTGCAGATATCAACTTGAAATTTAGCAGAGAAAGAAAGGGCCGTGTCCACATTTAAGCAATAAAAATTAGGTGCAATCATATTTTACCAAGTATTTTTTAAAAATTATAAAAAAATTTTTTGGTAATTTTGGCTTCCAGTAAAATATGTTTTCCTCCATAATTAACAACACAGTGCAATAACATTTATTTCAGGCATTTTTTATATTCAGGGTTTTCAAATTATAGGCAACAATCTCAAAGAACCAGAAAATTATTCTTTTTCAGAGTAAATCGTAAAAAATATGGCGAATCGGTTCAAACAGTGTCATACGCCGCATCAGGAGCTACAATTTTTGTATTTTCCGTTTTCGTCTATCACACCGGCTGCTCAGGATATTTGGAAAAATCCATATGAAAATCGCTAGTTCGGGGGCTCAGTCAAGACGCCATGACGTCATTGATTATTACGGCGCACTGCATGGTTTCAGAAAAAAATTATTTTCTCGGTAACTATTTACTATTTTGGAAAAATTGTTGAACCGGGAAACTAGGAAGATTCAGCGCTATAACCTCCATTTACGGAATTTTGTCAATTATGTGCAGGGTGTGTCCGTTATGGGTAAAAATAATTAAAAGATCCTGAAAATTGCCCTTTTCGTGGATAAGTTATTAGCCGCAAATGAAAAAATATGAAACACGGAATAATTTTGGTTTAAAAAATGGCGTAAATTGTATCGAGAGAGTTTCAGGTCTCGACTACCATACAGGATGCGCGAGATACTTTAAGTAATATCATACTTGTACAAATTTTTGTATTTATCAAAGTTTGTCGTGACTTTGAAATTTGGCGATACGTGAAAGACACTTTATACAGGGTGCATGCCCAATAAAATCACATGTATTTTGCGAAAGTTCCATAGCGGTTCGCAGGAGCAGGATAGAAAACCAATGCCTCCCTCCAGGACAAGAAACCACGAAGCACTTTCTAAAGTAAAAAGCTGCTTCGCGCTACGCGCTGCGAACTTGCCCCGCCCAGCTACGATTTTTCGAAAGCAATTTTGTTTTTTGCTGCTTCTACTTCCCCTTGTGAATTTTTTATATGATTGTAAATATTTAAAACAATTTGTTTAGCATTCAAAGATACATGGATCAGTGTTCTTATTTGCTGAAGTAGTTCGTCTTCTAAATTGTCATTACGTTCGACTATCATCTCCATTTCGTCTTCAAATTCTGCGTTGTTTTCCATGTCATCTTTTAATTTTTATGTACTGTAGTTGTTTACAAATCGAAGAACTGTGCAGATAAAAATACAAGAAATAGAATGTTAATCAACAGGCGCACAAGACAAAAATGATTATTTCCAAACTTTTTTCCCTTACCCTCTGCACTATCCAGTGAAAACAGCCTCGCAGGTCAAAAGTCGAGAGTCAGGTATATAAACATGTATTTACTGGAAGGATCACAGTCAAAAAACTTCGTAATATATACGAACTAATTTAGATTAAATTCTTAAGAACGATACATATCACCTGATGTTAAAATAAACGCTTCTATTTATGCTAAAATGCCCCGCAGCATCAATGCTTTATCAAATTTAAAACGGTCCATTTACGTTTGAAATAAAAATTGCAAGTTCCTACCAATATTCGTTACGGTCCATCTCAGGCAAGACCTACTCAATGCAGAATAAACATCTGTTGCTATGGGTTTTACCACGGTCCTGCGAAGGTCTGCCGTTAAGGTACTGTAAAATACTTTAAACGTCAAAGCAATTAATGCACTATATTTTTGGTCGTATTGTGTCTGCACATCGAACGGTCCAATCATTTTTTTATACCGATTTTAATCATTTTCAGTTGCGTGTTTCGCGGTTCGTTTCAGCTACTCGCCCGCAGCAAATCCTCTCTCGCCACTGGTCCACGAGAAAATAGTAAAACCTCAAAGCGTAATGCCGCTTGCGCTTTTGGAAACAACCTCCTTTTAACTTTGTTTCGAGTTAGTTTAGCCGTAAAGTCGTTTTATCTCTCACGGTGTCGGTTAAACTTCGACTGAGTGTTTACCGAAGCGTTTTTGGGTACGTGAATTTTCTGCACGGGAACAAATACCAACGTGCTTAGTTGAGTTTCAAAATGAGATTATTTTCTGTTTATATAACTAAACCACAGCTGCCAACTCTGATTCACTTCCCGCATCTTAATAAAAAACTGGTGACTATGTTTGCTTGTATTTATATGCGTAACAATTAATAGTTGTAGTTGATCGGATAGTTAAAAATTCTAGGCAAATAAAAAATGAAACTTTCCGCTTACAATACAGATACTGATCCTACAATTTTTTTAAGTAAGTTCTGTTAATGTCTGCCATATCTAAATGGGTTTTGTCTCTTCATGATAATCCAAAGATCAATAACAAACATAACATAGGCCAACAAAGATTTTGTGATATGATATTTTTAATATTTTTGGAGTTATAGAAACTAAACTCGTAAAAAAACAGTGCTTTTTTTGTTTCTATTACACAACACTTTTGAATTCACTTTTGAATTATCTTTTGAAGATGTCATATTTATTGTTTTAAAAACAATGACATTACGCAACATTCTAAAAATTGGCATACATTTTGCATAAATTAATATAATATTAGCGGGGAATCCCCGAAAGTAAAATATAGTTTCTGAGATTCCCAAATATTTGAAATGTTTGAAAACGATATTCCGCTTATTTTTAAGTAAAAATTGTTGATCAAGGCAAACTTTGGGCGCCACATATTGCTTGTAAGGTATATGAAGAAGGGTTTAGACAATGGGATAAATGAACCAGGAGATCCCTACCTTTTAAAATACCTATGAAATGGAGAGACCCCTATGACGACTGCTATTTCTGCATATGAATTAGTGAATATAATACTAAGAAATTAAAAAAAACAGTGTTTATCCGAACTTCATGTCTGCAAATCCACGCAGTTTAGAAGAAGATACCACCAGTTTTTCTGAACCTGAAATAGATGAAGATACCCTTATGGTGATATATCCAGTGTTTTTCAGTAACCACAGTTATTTTCACAATTAGAACTTAAAGACTTAGTGCGAGATTTAGTTTTACCTAGGGATCTTTGCGAAATTTTGTTATTTAAACTTCGAAATTAAAATTTACTTTCACAAGGCAAGATTTTGATTTTTTTTCCCCACAGTGACTTGGAAAATTTATTTGGTGTCAGTAACAAAGTTCAGTTTTAAATTTGGTGGCAGTTACTTTATTTTTGTATGAGTGCAAAAAAATAGCTTATACAAACAGGGACCAACATGTTGCCAAATTTTCAAAGTAAAAATATCATATTTCAGGAAACGCAAGAAAGAATTTATAGGCTATTTTGAACAACGTGCTTATTGCACCGATATATAAAAGATTTTCAAGGATACGATAAATTTCACAACTACAAAGGCATTGTAGACAACATGTTAGAGAAATTTTGGGAAATGGGTAGTATAAAACTACAAGCTTTACACACATATCTGGACTATTTTCCCGACAATCTTGATACCGTGAGTGAGGCGCAAGGTGAGAGGTTCCACAAACATATAAAAGAAATGGAACGGAGATATCAAGGTCGATGGAACATTGCAATAGTGCCAGATTACTGCTGGCCATTAAATATACAAGAAAATCAATTAGACTAAGTTTTTCGGTCAAGAGCGAGGGATCTTCCAAAAATAAACGCTCTTAACTATTGTTTGAGACTTTGTTAAATGATTTTGATTTTTTAATTCAGTTTTTTTCTTGTACTAATGAAAATAATGTTTAAATCGTAATCATAATGTTTATATTCATTAATTAATTCTTTTAATGTTGATAAAAACCTTACGCGATAGAAGAAAATTTTTCAAGATTCAAATTTAGGAGTTCTAAATTATACATAATCAATTGTCAGATCGAAACTTTCAAAAGTTTAAAATTTTGAGTAACCTTTAGTTTTAAATATATCTGCTTTTTTGGGTTAGCATGGATATTGTGGATTATCAATCCATAAGATATATTTCTATAGATATTACTTATTTACCCACATTATTTACATAAAACCAATCAAAACATAATAAGTACAATATCATCACATGTATCTCAAAATAGGTGGCACCTAAATGCAGGAATCATTTGTATGCGCCCTATGTTATATTGATATTGATTTGTTAAAGTACAATAGTGCGTAAATAATACTCCCAACATCTAAATCTATTTCACTCTTCCAATGTTATGCCATAAAAAGGATTTACAAGCTTGAATATATTTTCTAGAATAAGTAATATTTTTAATGTCTTTTGGTAAAATATTATTTACTTTGGGACCAACATATGTATCAAATTTTACATTTGTGTTGTTGTAATTGGTTGGTACATGAATATTTCTGTTTGTTCTGCCACATGTCAAGGAGATTCCGCAAAGTCTTCATCTTATGAAGATATTCACAAACAGTAATTATGTATATAGACCTAATATTTAAAATTTATTGCGAAAACAACATGTGAGTTTAAAAATAATTTTGAGAATACATTTCTGTATGATGTTGAGCTTATATAAGCAGTTGTTGTACAAGCCTCTCCAAACAAGAATCCCATGATTCGACAAACGCTTTATAGACAATCACAACAAGTCTTTTGTTTAAAAATTCTCTTAGAAGTTAAAATTTGTGTATGAGTTTACGAATTTTATTCGTTAAATAATCAATATGTGGTCCCCATTTGAGATGCTTATCTATCATATTTTATGCAAGGAACTTGCTCCACATTATAATCATCCCAAGTAACAAATTCATATTCTGTCCTACTCCTACTTGCTGCTGTTAGAGAAAAAGCTATGTATATTCAACGTTAATTAATAGGTGTAGAGCCAATTTTGGACGAGTTTTAATCCACTTATTGTTTGTCTTCTAATTGTATTCCAGTTATCACCACTAAAAACAAGAACAGTGTCATCATGTATGTAATGAAAAATATAGGATATAAGATCGCACCTTGCGGGACACCAATTTTTATTTTGAGACTATTCCTCTGATACCATAATGATCAAATTCGTTAATAAGCTTTGCGTGGTTAACCGTATCAAATGCTTTTTGCCAGATCCAAAAAAAAGGCTTTCTACCTAAATTTAAGTTTTTAACAATAGTAGATACCAGAGTGAACATGGCAACACCAGTATTCCGCCCTTCAAGAAAACCATATTGATTGGAAAAAATTATCAATCGGTCCTTGAAACTCTTTTCAAAAATTTTAGCGAAATTACTAATCAAACTGATAGGTCCATAATTTTCAAATCTGTAGGAACAACGCCTGTTTTAAAAAATAAATTAATTATGTTTAATAATGAGTTAATTATTTCTTCATGAGCAGTCTTTTTCACCAGAACGGTTATCCCGTCATGGCCTGATGAAGCGTTATTTTTTAGCGGTGAAATATGTTTCGTAACTCTTTGTCTGGAGTTGGTATAATATTTTCCATTTTTACTCCAATGTTTATCACCATTATCATTATTATTATTGTTTTCTCATATGTTGCCTCCAAAATTATTTCATATATTTTTTTCATGTTTTTTTTTAGGGACTAGGAAATAGGAAACAATTTTTGTTCAAAGTTTTATTTCGATGATTCTAGGGTAGCTAAATTTAGTAAAAACTAATTGAAACTAAAATAAAAAATCAATAAATACAAAGATAAATAATAAAATATAAATAGATAAATTAGCAGCCCCAATTAAAATGGATCGTAGTGACATACTGTATTCTAATATCGTTGTTCAAAGAGGAAAACACACTTAGAAGCTTATTTCCTAAATTTTAATCAAAGAGGAGTGTTTCTTTGGACGCAGAAATAAAATACACCATTTCCAAACATTTACGATCCATTTCAAGTGAAGGCTTTTCCGAGGGTATTTCAATATTTGTTCATAGATCTACGACAAAGTCGTATTAATACAGCATACAATGAAAAACTTAACAGATTCCTAATGTGCTAGCTTTATTTACCACTACAATGCCCGCTTGCTTCTGTTGCTTGTGATTTTTATTCTTTTTCCCCACAGTGACTTGGAAAATTACTTTACAGTTATTTTATTTTTTATATGTGTGCGAGAAGGAGCTTAGACAACAAGGACCAATATATTGCAGGATTTTCTTAAACTACAATTTGGCTGATATTTATATTTTATTAAAATTTAAATAAAAATTTAAATAAAAATTAACAAACGTTCCTACTTAATAAATGGGTTCGGTCGAAGTGACTTATTTTTAAATATTTAATTTGAGAGAAGGGTAATAACGATGAGAAAATTTTCTATCAAGACTTGAACTGAAAATAAAACCTTAGCTAATGTCCATATAAGAGCTACCAAATCTGAAGACCACCACGACTGCAAGTCTCATCTTGAAAGCAGCCCATTTTTACCCATGAACCGAAAAATCAAACGCTATAGCTTGAAACACGGAAAGTGCTTTCGCGATGCTTGTAAAAAACAAATAAAACCAGCGCTGCATCTGAGTTACCATTTTAAATCAGTCACTTAGTTTTCTAGCTTGTACGAGTTTGTTGATTTCATTAAAAGTAGTGAGCAAAGCGGGACTAGGTTGATTCTCGTTCAAAGACGGACACCCGCCGTGAGCCAGACATTGCTCGCCATCTTGTCCATCTTTGGCTGCCTTCATGTACCTAAAGAACCTCAATATGTCCGGGTTGTCGGAAGAGGGTTTGCGCAGCTCGTTTAACTCCCTGTAACAGAAAATCTCGATCACGAAACAAAACAAATCAAGGCACTTTGCACCACGACACAGCAAAAGAAAAATGTCTCGCCTCTCATCCTTTCTCCCCGTCCTGACTTGAAATTACGTGTCAACCTGTTTTACGGGGTGCAGTATTCCGAGACACAAGCTCGCAGCAGGAGAAACTCTTGGAAACGAAGATATTACCGAACTTGACTTTTTATAATAAGATCGCTAGCAAGTTGCGAAATAAACAAATTTGGAACGGTTACTGTAACGCACTATCAAATTAAACTTGTTAATATTGTTATAGTTCGATTTACATGAAATTAAAAAAAGGTAACAAGAAGAAGTATCTGGTTTATCACTAATAAAGTCTTTATGAACGACCAAAAAATGAATAGTGGGATTCAAAATTTAAAGAAAATCCTTGAAATAAAAAACAATGCTTAAATTTTAAGACTTGAACTTGATGACCTTGGAAAAATCAACGCAAATTACTTTCCTCAAAACTACGTAGTTATTCTCTCCTAATAAAAAATTGAAATATTCTTTTGTAGAAAGCACGACAAGAACTGAGAAAAAAATATAAAATATAATAACAATTCTCCTGATTCCTTAGTAACGAAGTAGTAGTAGTAACTTTGTTGTTTTGGTTGCAGACAATCAGAAAGTATAAATAGTTGATTAGAACTTAAGGGGTTGTCAATTTAAAGTATTTTGATGGTAGAGAATAGTTGTTTGGTTATGGCAATGCTAACTTAACAACAATCTTAAGTTACTATTGGAAATATTCATACAACATACAATAGAAAGTATAAATAGTTGTTTGGTTATGACAATGGTAACTAACAACTATCTTAAGTTAGAATATCAGGTTACGGATTTGTTATAGGAAAGCAGACAACCATCTTAAGTCAACATTGCCGCAACTAAGCAACTATTCATACTTCCTGATTTTTTACAGCTAGAAAATTCATCAAATTACAACATTACTGTTCTAGGAAAATAGAAAGTATAAATAGTTGCTTGATTATGACGACGGTAACTAACAACCATTATAAGTTACCACAACCACACAACTATTCATACGTTTCTTCGACTAAAACACGTCAAATAAAAAAATTATATTGCTTAATAGCCGAGAATTTCTCTACAGGTTATAAATTTGATGAATTATTATTTGTTTATTGAATTGATTTGAATTTATTGAATTGCTATTAATTATGAATAGTTTAATTCGATGGTAACTAAACAACTCTTGATTTTTTTTGTAGAGGAGCATAGCTCCACAGGTTGTTAATTTGATGCGTTAGTGTTGCCTGAAATATGAATAGTTTGACTATGGCAACGGTAACTTAAGGTGAATGCTTATTTCTACGCCAGAGGTAAGGATTTCAAGCTTTTAAGATTTATTTTGAAATTGATATTTTATATTTAAAAATCGATAATTGTTTTAAGAAACTTTTAAAATCAGACCACAATTGTATCGTCTTCATGTTGTTTTTTTATAACCGTTTCAGTGAATTAAGTTTTGATTGAAACTTTACAAAATTTAGAATTTATGGTTTAAAGGTATAACTTTTTTTGCTTCAACTAACCTACTGAGTTGGGCAGAGACCAAGTTACTATACGGGGCGTATTTGGCTGGATTGGCGTACATCATGCACACTAGTCTCTCCCTACAACGTTCGGTGTCGGCCCGTTTATCGCTAGGCAGTCCGAGTTGTTGGAAAATCGCATCCAACCGAGAGAGCAGAGGACTGTAAAATGGATCGTAACTCGTGAGCAGTAACGACGACGAGGGGATTTTGTGGAACACCTTGTAGTCGGTTTTCTTATTTGGACGTCTCAAATAGTAATTGTCGTTGATTGAGGGTGCGGTGTAGATCCGGTTGTGTGCGAAATCGAACCTGTGAAAAAAAATCAAAAAGCTTACTTTCATTTCGATGTGAGAAACTTGAGGAAAAATTTAATTGACAAAACATTATCACAGGCCATAAGTATTTTTTGTCCCAAAAATTCAAATTCAAATTACTACAAGCAATATTATTTTTTTTTTTATAAATAGATGAATGCACAAACTGGCAACTTTTTAAAGGTTCGTAATACAACGTAATTTTGGAAAAGAATCATTTAAAATTCTTATAAACTTGTACAACACGTTTTACAAATTGAAGTCCATTGTAATAAATCTTTATGGCCTCTGTGAAAGTCAAAAAGAATTAAATTTTAAATAAAAACATACTTATTAAGGTAATTATTGATATCTAAAATGAAATAAACATAGCATAGAATAGAATAGAATAATTCATTGACCACGTTTTGTTGATACAATTATGGCAAGTCATAAATACAATATGTCGAAAAATATGTATATAAAAAACAAGACAATGAATAAATTATGTAAAGATTTATAGTTACAGGGGATTATAAAAATATTTGAGGCAAGTTTATTACACAAGATTAATATGAGGGGCCCAATTTAAACTATCGTCAAGTGTTACTCCAAACAGCCTTAAATTCTTGCCCTCCAGTAGATTATTATTAGTCGAGAAAACAAGACGTTGTGTCTTATCTGTGGTTAATTTAAGGTTATTGCTGGTGAACCACAGTTCCGGCATCCGCTCAATATTATCAACATCAACATAAATTCATTGGAGTCTTTGCCATAAGTCACAAACGATGTATCCTCCGCATAAAGTGTACATTTATTACGGAACAGAAAATTATACAAGTCGTTGATGTAAATTGTGAACAGTAGCGGACCCAAGACGGAGCACTGATGCACGCCACTGCTCACAACTCTCATCTCCGATATGTTACTGTTAAAGACGACACAGTGTCTTCTGTCTGAGGGTGACCACGGAGACCATGTCTGCAAAGCTTCTCCAGTAGCAGGTCATGAGAGACGCAGTCGAAAGCCTTAGTGAGGCACATAGCGTGAGTGCAGCTTGCTCCTCCTTTTCCAGGCCCTCCACCACGTCTCCCACAACCCTGCGAACCACCTGCACAGTTGACCAGCTGGTCTTAAAGCCCAATTGGGAATCACAAATGCATTTTGTTTTTTGAAAAAATCTTGATAATTGATTTTTTAAGTGTCTCGAAGACCTTACCAAATATGGGAACTATTGATATACCTTCCGCGACCTTAAATTGGGCGGAAAAACTTATCAATAATCTGGTTGATAGTCCCCTTCAGAATAATACTATTAATGTCGTAATAGTCATAAGAACCAGATTTTTTCAATGCAATTACACATAATAAAATATTTAATCATTATATTTTACCTTAAAAATCTGTAACATACTGTCCAGTAGTTTTATTGCCGTGTGGTGGTTATTTGGCTAATTGCCGTCAAGAGCAAAGACGATATATTTTGACATCGCACTTTTCTATAAAATAATGCTGTTGACTTTTTAAATTTATTTTCAGATTTTGGGAAAAAGGTGTCATTAAATTTCCCAACCATTGTTATAAATATAGGTTGAATAACGCTTTTTTAACATTGTAGTATACCGAGTAACAATGAAACTACTGTCCATGACGGCATTTAAAAATGCCTTGATATAAAAATTTGCAATTTGGTTGCAGTTTCAAAGAAAAAAAGTTTGTTAGTTTAAATTTTTTGGACTCTTAACAATTGCAAAAAATTTTTTCAAAAGTACTTTTTGTCAAAAATCAACTATTTTTGAAATAAAGCCATTCAAAAATACGCAAAAATTCCAAAAAAAAAAATTATTTTATAACAAAACAAAATATATACCGAGTAACAACAAAACTACTGTCCATGACGGCATTTAAAAATGCCTTGATATAAAAATTTGCAATTTGGTTGCAGTTTCAAAGAAAATAACTTTGTTAGTTTAAATGGAACATCGTGCATGTTTTTAATTTTTTGGACACTTAACAATTCCAAACAATTTTTTAAAAAGTAGTCTATGTCAAAAATCAACTGTTTTTGAAATAAAGCCTTTCAAAAATATGCAAAAATTCAAAAATTTTTTTATTTCATAACAAAACAAAGTAGGCCAGAACAAAAAATATTACGGTAACTTACTCCTGGTGGCATAGTTTTGAACGCCTTTATTAAAAAAAAAAAAACTATTTAGAAGTGAAGTATGACAAAAGTCAAAACGTGTTTAGAAAGTTGAGGGAGAGAGTTGAGTTACAGGATGTTCCATTTAAAAGAACAAAGTTCACATTATTCAACCCTCTCCACTTACCAAATTGCATATTTTTATCTAGAGCCATTTTAAAATGCCGTTGTAGGCAGGAGATTCGTTGCCAGTCGGTATAGGAGAAAGAGAAATATTAATATAAAATTCATCATATTCAAGTGCCATTATCGTCCCTAGTATGTAAATATATTTCTCATAGAAGCTCTACCAGTGCCTATATGTAATTTTATTTCACACGTTGAATGGAGGGTTAAATGAAACGGCAACTATATTAAACAATATTAACAAAATATGTAAGTACTAATACAATAAATGATGATAATGTTTTATATAAAGAAATGTATCCGAGAATTTTGGTTTTAGGCAGGAAATAAATAGAAAAAAATTTAATATTTTCGATAATTTTTTGGTTGAATCAAAATTAGCAATAGGAAAAGGTGCAAACCAACAGCACGTGAGGTTGAAACAACTTGTGGATGTATGATTTCGTTAAATCCTATGGTGAATTGCCCATATGTCCTCAAACACGTCTAAATATTTCTCTTGGGTGGAAAATATAGTGGCTCCGAATAACATTCGCGACGATGATAAAACAAATAATAGTTAATCGTGTTTACCGTTTCCTTTCTTAAGTTTACTTTATTAACATAATACAGAAGCCGTGGTTTGTGGATCGGAAACAATAGAGGACGTTCTAACTCACACGAATTGACTTTAAATTTTTCAAAAATATCTCGATTTACGATCTCTATGGGAAAATAAACAGGCTTTTGGTTCGTAAAAGTTTTCGCACAAGTTTATAACGTCTAACGAGAACTGTCGGTTTCCTTTTTACGAGTTTAATTTTATTTTCTACCGAATGTAACCTCGGTGTATCACATAAAACTCATAAATCATATTGATTAGGTCTTTATAAAGCTTCGACATTTTGCGGTACTCAGCTCAATAATAATAATAAATGTTGCTTATAACTTATAAATTGGAAAAAATATTAATACGTAACCTAATTAAAAAGGAAGGGTGGCAAATATAATGTGTCTAGAAGAAGTCAGTTTCAAAACAGCAAATGGATTTTACGTGTAAAAATTTTGTTGCTCTTTGGAATGGATGTTATTGTGGAATCGGTAGAAATAAGATATGCTTCAATAGTTTTAAAAATTGTTTAGCTGCTACTGTTACGAAATTTCCCCAGATAGTAACTGATCAAATGCGGAAACCACTGTTTTAGTAATTTAGGCATTTACTGGTTAACATTTCCTCGGCCAATTCTGTTTTTATTTTATCTCATCCGAACAAACTCCCTTAATGAAATAGCTTGTCGAAATGGTAAAGATATAATAAGACGATAACATTACTCGATTATCGTTAGTCCCGTTCTTTACAGTCTTCTGTTTTTTGATTTGTGTAATAATATTTTCACAGGAATCGTCGAGGCTGAACAGTCTCTTAGTTTAGGTGTTTCAAAATCCCTGCAAATATGTTAAAAAAATTTTTAATATTTTTTGCTTTGGGCTTTGTCATGAAAATTGTCAAAACGTTATTTTTATGACCATTTATTTTTGAACCCCTTGACTCACAATAAACTTGATTCTAAAAAATTAACACTAAAGAAAATGATAAGAATCTGCTTTACTGCAGCCATGTAGCCTACAAAGTAGGCATTTTCAAACTCTTTTTATATTGGAAACTAAGCATTTCCGGTCCTACATAAATATGATTTTTTTCTTTCTTTCTTTGGGAGACGAATCTCCACCCGAGAGATGGAGCAATGTTTTTTGAAACACCTTGTATTTAAAAGTCATTGTTGGAACAAAAATTGTAACTTGAAACTTTACCAAAATGAAACGATATAAAGAAAGAAGGGACTGTTTTAAGTTGATATCTACTAATTCAATATAGATTTCGGCCCAGTGAATTGTCAGAAATCCAATTTTTTCTGGAATTTGATAGAAGTCAAGAAGAAAAACCTTCCAGTTGTCCCAAAAACAGGGGTGTTAACTTAAAGTCTGCAGGTCTGAAATAGAAATCGAAATCGAACAGGAGAGGCAACCACTTGGCAAGAACGGGTAACTATTTGGAACAGGAACTGAGATTTTGAGCTGATATCTGCCATTTTAATACAGTTTTAGTTACAATATGCTTCGGAAAAGCAGACTTTGACTTTAGTCTATTTGAAATTAAAAAAAAACAATCAACCAAGAGGGGTTTTAATTTCTTATGTACAGGTTCAAAAGATATTTCGGTACAATAAGTGGCAGAAAAGCTGCTTTTTAATGGAAACTGCTAGGTATTTTATAGCATTCATTGACGGATCTGCCAGAAACACAGAAATTAAAACTTGTTACTTTCTTGGCTTGTATCCAAAGTTGTCTTGGTTGGAACTTGGTTGGTACTCTTGGTTATTTTATTTTCTAAAATAAAAAAGCTTCGTTGCCAAATATATCCGTGTAGCCTAATTACGTTGACCAATACCGCTCATCTCTCACACTATCAAAATTTACCGCTTTCAGCCAAGTAGAAGAATACCTGCTATTAGTAGCGATGGTGCTGCTATCGACGCTGTTCAATTTTAAACTGTCCCCATCTCCGTGAATATCATTGACCGCATCGTTACTATACGGGTCGCCCTCGTTGAAGTCGAAATCCTCCACCTCCTGGTGTTGCTTGTTAAAACCTGTATTAAAATCCTTTAAGCTTTACCAACTCGGTCAGAGCTTTCGGAACTTACCGGCAGACGCAGATGATAATCCCGAGAAAGTTGACAATCCTTTTCCGACCAGTTTGCCGACGCTGCCCAAAATCGTAGGCAGGAACATCGCTATGAGGACGGACTTAATCAACTGGGCACCGAGAAACACTGGAAGTAGAAGCTTTTTTAGAAAAAAAGCCAAGAATCCCATACCGAAGCCGACCAGAAATGAGCTTTTCCCCGACGTGTCTAGAGGTAAAAGAAACGACTTTCAGTTTCATCTGGACACGCGTAATTTCAGTGCTTGAGACGTTTTTATGTGCAAATCATAAACGTTAAAATGATTGGTAAATCCTTTTTATAGTGTAATGATGCAGTGCCGTGCGTCAATTTTCGCCTATTTAATTCAACGAAGCAAATTTACCGAATCCGGCGTGATTAAGTCATTTGTAGATCCGCTTAATATGCATTACTTCCGGAAGTATGGATATAGTCGGTTCGATTCCCTTTTAATATGGATTTTTTATTAAGCCCGAATAATTTCCCTACTTTCGTATTTCTTTATCTGCAGTCTAGGAGCGATTATTTTAAAAAATAAATATGTCCGAGTGAAAATAAAGAGATGATTAGAAATTGCAGATTCCAAATCACTGAGTTACTAAAAAAGATTTCATAAGTTAGTTTTATTGATCACCACCAGACAGCATACAGAATGCGCGATATTTCATAAAAAGAGAAAAAAAAAGTCACGGTTAAAGAACTACGTGCAATTTTTAACAAATAATATATGTGACAAATAAAAAAAACTTTGCAAGCCAGATATGTACAGAACTGAAGAGACGAAAACCTTGTAAATTTCAATTGTTAAATAATCCTTAATTTCATTTAAAAAATTAAAAATTCTTGTTAGTTTCGACCTAGAATCTCTATTCCTGAAACCCAAACTTTTTCATCTAAAACCTACGTACACACTTCAATACCTTAATGCATTGTCACATCATAATCCGATCCAAAAATCATCGTCTATCAACTCCCTTGCATCTGCTCTTCTCTCTAATAATTTTCACATTAGAGATATAAGCATCACAAAATACTACAACCTTTCCGAAAGAAACACCATAATTGCCACTGTTGTCCTTCCTTACATTCAAAATATCACTGACAATATATCAAAAATTCTCAAGAAATGCAACGCCAAAATCAGATTCACCACGTGTCCAACAATATATCAACATCTTCGATCCGCCAAGGGCAAAATTCGGTTTGAGAAACGAGTTCACAGCATTCCGTGTATATGCGACAAAGAAAACGTTGGATAAACCGGACGGAGGATATCAACTAGTGCCAAAGAACATGAAAGAGCTTTAAGACTACAAAAATTAACTAATCAGCAGTCTCCCAACAGAATCACAAAATCGATCATAAAATTTTATTGAATGAAACTAAAATTTTTGCATGTAATCAATTCCTTTATCAACGAAATATACCAGAATATATAAAAATATATAAGCAACTAAACAATCTTTCGCCAATATGGGAGCCGGTTTCAGTTACACTCTAAAGAAGCCAACAAGATGATTGGCGAAACGTCAGCAAGCTCGATTCATCAACAACCGACCCAGGCGGAATCCAGAAGATTTTAGTATTAAATAATCCTAAACAGACATACTAAAACCAGAAAAATGTAAAAAGAATATCAGCCCCTTACATTTAAAAATGCCGATGTTAAATTTCAAGAAAATCTTCCGGAAGATTATTTTTTATTATTAATTATATATTTTGAAAATTATGCATTTGTTGCAGTGTCATGTCTGGAATTCTTCATTAACCTATTTTCTTAAAGCCCATTAGAGTTGCATTTTCTCTTTATTTCTCTCCCTTATATATCACATTATTATATATATTTTTAATAACAACTTATGGCTTCTAACACATCATTTAAAATTCCTTCTTACCCCGAGTATGTTTTTAAAAATTTGAAGGCTCGCCATTTATAAATGTTTTGATAGAATCGAGATAAAAATTTAAAAACATTTCAACAATTTTGTTTACAAATGAAACATTAACAACAAACTAGTTTATTCTTCTTAAGACTGTGGCATTGTAACAAAACATTAACTTGAAAAGTAAAGCAAAATATGTTCAATTTTTGAACAAAATAAGGAATAATTATAAACAAGTGAATTTTGGGAGTTCAAGAATTTATCGTATTTCTTCCAAAAGATTAATTCCTAATGATGTGAGTAACCTCTTGGAGTTCGTACGGCCTCTGCACACCGACGGAGCATAGATTCTGATGTTACGCCAATCTTCACGAGAATGCTCTGAAGCTGCTCTTATTTTTGGGGAAGTTAGCGATTCCTAATCGTCCATTTAAGATAATCCAAGATGTGTTCAATATGACTAAGATCTGAGGAGTTTGCTGGCCACTGCAAAACCTAGACATTTTGCTCTTCGTTTACTACTCTCATTACCATGTTGGCATATGTAAGATTGTATAACGTCCTCCAGATAACAACGAGCACTCACATAACTCCACTAAATACAAGTTGGTGCGCCCTACCCTGTCACCTCCAAAATGAGCATTTTCTCCAACATTTTGATCGCGATATCCTTCACCTCTTCGTCCCCAAGCTCGCATGCGTGCACCATTGTGGCTAAGTCTAAATCTGGACTCCTCAGTATCCCCACTGATCAATATTCCCATTTAATTGATTGCGGTAAAAATTTAATTGGACTCTTCGGTGTGCTCCGGTTAACTCTGATCTCACAGGTCTAACTCTAAAAGTAATCAAATTACGATCTTCACGTGCTGTTGTCTCTCTTTCTCTTTTAGAATAAGGGTTTTTTGTAACTATGCCAAACTCTCGATATCTACTCATAACCTTGGATATTATTTTAAAAATGTTCGAGCATTATACTCCTGATTGGAAAAACTTTCTGTTATTCCATTTGATTTAAATGTCTTCTTTGACCAAGGAGACTTCCCAATGCACCGATATTCATGATAATTCGCCTATTAAACAACAATCGAATTGTTTCGCAAGCGTCAAATATCAAATTATTTTTTTATGTTTTAAATTGCAACAGGATGACTCAAAAAGTGGCAAAAATATGTAAAAGTGGTCCTTAGTTTTGACATTTACTTACTTACTCAAACAATTCCAAAGTTTGTACAAATAGCAATTTATAATCAATTTGTTAATTTAGTAATAAATAATTTCATAAAACTTGGGCACAGTACAGTTCAGTAGGTAATAACTAAATGTTTTGACAGAAGATCAGCATAAATTATTTTAAGTTTATAAAAAATACGTACTTAAAGTCTACCAGAACCATTGCAAATTGTTTGGATGAAAGAAGTCTTCTTCCTAATTGAATGGAAGTTTTCTGACATCAGAAAATTGTCCAAGGTAACCTTTTCACTAACGTCATCCCTAAGCTGTTTATAATTAGTTTCTCTACCTTTCTTGGTCACAGTCGCTTTCCCGTGAAAAATTGTGGCATTCCATTCAAACGGGGGAATCATTTTAAAAATAGCTTATTATATATAGACAACGTATTGTGTTGCAAATTTCCGGTGGGTTAAAGTACGTTTTTATTTATTTATTTATTTATTCATTTACAAACCTAAAGACTAACCAGACGAGGCTGCGAAATTAAAGCACAGCGCATATTAAACATAAGATTCCACATAGTCGGGAATACAAAAGAAAATTAACTAGACATTTCCTAAGCTAATAGACAGCAATTGTGTAGGGTGGGCCGTTTATCTTGGAAAACTATGTAATCTCAGAAACTAGAGGGGATGGAGCCAAAAGTTAAATACGAAGTTAATTGGAGTATTACAAACCTTATTAAAAAAAAAATCGGGTGCGCAAGGGTCTACAAAAAAGACCATTTTTCAAAAACCGTTTACAGACCGGCAAAAATCTTGAACCAAAAGACGCAGAGAAGACGACTCCATAGCCTTCTATTCTTGTCAATTTTCCAAAAATATACAGGGTGCGTTGCAAATTCCAAAAAACTAAAAAACGGGTCCCCCTAATATTTAGTGTTTTAGATGTCAGTTTCTTTTGCTTGGCGATATAGCCCATATACACAGCTTAAACTTTTCTATTTACGGTTTTTAAGTATTGTACAGGGTGTTCGTGATATTCCGTGCAATTTTAAAAAACATGATAAGTACTCCAAATTTGCAGCTACCGACTTCAGACTTGGGAGAGAAGTTGAAGTCTGGACCCGCATTTAGACTTTTTAAATTGGGAGCAATAAAATAACGCCAAGTATTTTATTTTATATTTTTTCTGGTGTGGTTATTTTGGCATCCAGAAAAACAGCTTTTCCTCCAAAGCCATTCATCTGATCGGAAAAATTTTACGTCCGTAATACGTAAGAGACCCGGCGCAATAACTTTTGTTTCACGCATTTTTTCGATTATATACAAGGTGTTTTAGTTATAGACAAAAATCTAAAAGACCCTCAAAATTGTTCTTTTAGGGAGTAAATTATTAACCATAAATCCAAATTCGTACAAACAATAGCTAATCCGTTCAAACATTGTTGTAGTCCGTATCAAGGGCTACACTTTTTGTATTGACGGTTTTCGTCTATCACATACGCTGTTCGAGATATTTGAAACAATCCAAATGAAAATCGCTGATTCTCGCCCTCAATCTAGACGCGATGACGTCATTTAATATTACCACATATTGCATGGTTTGGAAAAATTCGGATACCAGGAAACTAAGGAGATCCGGAGCTATATCCTATATCGAACATTGTTGGAATTATATGCAGGGTATCGCGTTTGTGGGCAAAAAATTCTAATAGATCCTAGAAATTTCCGCTTTGTGGGTGAATTATTGGCGATACATGAAAAACTTTTAAAGATGTGATAATTTCTGTGTGTCGAGAGAGAGTTTAAGGTTTCGTCTATAATACAGGGGTTGCAAGATATTTGAAAAAATATCATTTTAAATTGCAATTACCCGTACAAATTTTAATATTTACAGAAGTGTGCCGTAACTTTGAAGTTCGACGAGATGTGAAGGACACTTTATACAGGGTGTATTCACAATCAAATTACATCGCTTTTGCGAAAGTTCCATAGTGGTCCGCAGGAGCACGATAAAAAAACATTGCGTCCTTCTAGGACAAGAATCCGCGAAGCACCCTCTTTTGAAAATAAAAATCTGATTCGGGCTATTTGCTACGAACTTGCCCCGCTCACTGACGATTTTTCGAAAGCAATCTTGTTTTAGAAGGTAACAATTTTGGGTTCTTTCTATTATTTATATATTACCAAAATATTTTGGTATCTTTTTTTTATGTTATTTTCAGTTTTTAGTAAATTATCCTTATAGTTGTTTTCTTTAGTAGTTTTAAAATCTTTTCGTAATAGCGAGACTAGATAATAGTCACTGATGTTTTTAGATTTTTTCCTAACTTTCTCTTTGTCATGCAGCAACTTTTTGGTGCGATGAGTTAAGCAAATGGGAAACGCAGTTGGTATGTGCACCTGGATAATTTCCTAGATGCTATGGTAAAATTGTAGTTAGCAATTTTTTGGTTTATTAATTTATAGTTAGCCACATAAAATTGTTTCTTAATATAACTGTTGCAATGAAGTTTCTTGTACACTTTAAATTTGATAGTTATCAAGTGTAGGATGGTGGAACACCAGCAAGTTCGATTCAACGACAACTGAATCCAGAAATTAAGTATATATGACCGTAGCCTGTGGAAGTTTCTTTGAAAAATTACGTATAAAGTGACTTACCGGTCACATTAGCAATGGTACTGGACGTAAGAAATCTGGCAGTCTGCTCGAAATTCAATGAAAGTGCGTGTGTATGGACGTACTGGTCGATCTTCCTTTCCACGTAACTTTCGAAATCTTCGACACTCCTACCAGTCTCGCAATTATTATCAACGGTACCGTTTCTAGTTGAATTCGCTACGTCTGCGTTGTCTATTCTTTCCACCACCACACCCGGTATGACACTGAAACCCTCGTCTTTTAAAACCCGGTCCACGTAATTTTTTAACTCCTTGTCCAGCACACTCTCGTCTCTCACTTCGCTGTCGCATAGCGTCACCGTCTTCACGCATAGCGATATTAAAATAAGTTTAACCAGCAGCAATTCGCTTGAGTGACGTTTGCATTGTTTGAGCATCTTCGGTGTTGTCGAACGGTCATGTCCTCAAATTCTGAAACAGAAAGCAAAATCTCATCACGGAAAAAAAAGACACCTCGAGGCGAGACTCTAAAATGGTTGATGATGAAATCGATTCTTTTAGAAAGTATTCGTAATAAACTCAAGATCGCAGTAACGGTAGGTCCTATGGGTCCGAAATGATCAGCGTCGAAAAAAAAGTTCTCCGTTCTATGATTTGACGTCGACTACTTTCGAACTTTGCTCCTTTTAAAACATCCGTGAGTTGCATAAAACTTGTAAAAATGGCTGTGATCAATTTCTGCTCATTTTTGAACATGGCAATGAAACACGATGAGTATCCGAAATTTCCAGTTATCGACTTTATATTTTGCAATAAAATAGCGTTAGGTTCGGTAAAGGAACCTATCGAAATTGGGGGGCTGGGGGGTCGGGAGTATTTTTAAATATTTAAAAACCGCATTTGCATGTATCTAAGAAAAAAATCATTTATCGAAAAGGGTATACAAGATCGAAAAAAATCGTGTATCAATAGATCCGCAAGACGCAATGCTGTGAACTTTTATCCCTGACAATTTTTAAAAATGTACAAGGTGTGGCCAGTATTCGCACAAAACTGAAAATGGGGTTCCTCTTTTAATGAAAATTTGCCATAACTAGAAGACTGTGATTGAGAAGTTAATTTGTTTTACAGGTGCCCTAAATTTGCAGCTACCGACTTCAGATGTAGCAGACCCATATTTAAACCATTAAAGTTAGGCGCGATCAAATACCGCAAAGCATTTTTTTTTTAATTTTTGAAATTTTTTCCGGCGTTATTTTGGTTTTCAGAGAAGAATTATTTTCACCAAAACTATTATTCCGATAAGCAAAATTCTTTACCCAGCAGACGCGGAAAATCTAGTACCGTACTTTTTATTTCAAGCATTTTTTCGATTATGTACAGTGTTTTTCAATTATGGACAATGTCATTAAACAACGGAAAATGTTTACCTATTCCTTGATTTAAAAATAAAGGGTGCAAAAGTCAATTACTCAAAATTTGAAAGCAAACCACCATAACGAAAAAAAAACAAACTCGAAATTAAAATCGATTTACCCTCATTCTCATGTGACACTTGATACCGGACTGTAAGTACCGAATGTATGGTATTATGAATTATTTTAAAAATTGTACAGAAAGTACAAACATTGCGAATTTGTGTCAAATCGAACTTGATCAAAATATATTGGAAACTGCTTATCATAATAGTTTACAGGAGCTCCTAGAATGCCTCAAATTAAGTAACTACCTGTAAATGTACAGCAAATAAAACAACCATTAACGGGTATAAAAATGTAATATATTACATGCTTATTATGTTTGATTTATGTATAAAATGATTAAGAAACATTGGAAAATATTGATCACAATCAAATAATGACCACCGTCAAGAGTCAGATAATATCCTTTATCACTTATTTGTATTCCTCAGAATAAATACGTTGTTTCATAAAAAATGATTTTATTATCTCTTTAAAATTTTGAAATGGCCAATTTGTGACCCGATTTGTTATTATTATTTTTAGTTCAAGAGATTTTTTTAGGCCTTTAGTTTATTTAAAATTGCTAGTTCGAATCAAATTTGAGGGGGAAATGGGATAGCCAGGAAATTTTCAGAGTTATAAATTTTTCAAATTGTGTGATAGGTGGCAGCGGCATAACACTAAGTGTCTGAAACCGAGGTTGACAATGATTTATATATCTCGCATTGGATAAATTTTTATGGAGTTTGTTGAGTTTCCACACAATATTACAGCATATGCTAAAATTGAATGTAATATAGCCTAGTAGCTCGAGAATGGGTAATCTTTTCTAAGAGAGAGCATCTAGGAGGACTCCCAATTACTTCTCAGATTTTCCTTTCGAAACATATTTATTGAAAACATTAACGGCTGAGTTTTATTCTCGTTTAATTTTATGCGATTGGCAGGAATCCACTGACGGCTGACTGACTTCCTTTTGCGAACTGTGTTTCGATATTTGGACCCAAAATGGGGCACTGCGGAGCTCCGTACATTATCATTCGGATATTATACCCAGTGCAAAGGGTTCCAAACAGTAAAAATCTAGTTTTGCTAGTAAAACTGAATGACTGACACAGGCACCGGCTTTGAAAGGGACATAGAGCGTTAGAGTGCTAAGCTTCCCTCGTTCAAAGCACTCAACCATGGCAGTCATTATATGCAATAGTCTTTGAGTGGTAGAATGCAATTTTCTAAACTCAAACTGATTGGATTTATCAAATCATTATGGTCAAAATAATGAGACAATTGAAAATGCTTAATTTTTTTCAAAACTCTCGATAATTATTAGGATCAAACAATTCACCTTTTTTGTTGATTGGCACAATTTTAGATACTTCAAAAACATCTGGATATACTTGAATTATTCGAGGATATTATAACCTCCAGGACATTAAGTAAAAAAAAAAAAACGGAAAAATTTGAATGAATATTTACGCTAAATCATGTTATGCATGAACTCTGATGGACTAGAAGGAGTTTAAGCCAATATTTTGTTCACCGGGAGATAAAGATTTTGTAAAATTATATATACCGATTCTGCACCTCTCTGCCAAGAATCTTTACCCTTATTTTTGGATAACTGTATTTACCTGTTTTTGTGGATTTCTTATTTCTTTTAATACCCTTTTTTGCTTTTCATAGATTAAAAAGTCATCGGGATTCTATTTAATTTTTGATAATTTTAGTATTGACATTCTGATATACATTTAGAATTTTAATTAAACAAAAATTACGCTTGCTTCAATAGAAAGAAAAAGTGTCTAGAATATACTTCTCTTACTGATTGACTCCAGCTTGTTGTAGTTTCACTGACTGACTGGAATGTGTTGTCCATGTAATATTATTGAAATTGTTTGTATGACAAAGTAATACGAAATGAATGTCTACCGAGAAAATTAAGCTTATTTATTTTGTTTGAAGCAATATTTCAAATATTCTTATAATAGCAATACGAAAATTTAAAAAAATAGAATTCAAACTGCGATCAGCGATCAGTCAGGATTAGCACACAGATCTCTTGGAATCGCAAATAATTATATGTTATAAGGTCAGTTTTTCAAAAAATGACAGCAAACGCTCGTATTCAATAAAAACCAATTCAAAAATAAACTCGATACACTTCGTCGTCTAAAAGGCGATACTGCGCCGAAGTACGGAAATTAGTAGCAACCGCGGTACATAATGGAGTAGAAAATGACCAAGAAAATTAAGTTTGCAGCCCCACTGCCAGCGGTTTAATAGGTTGAACGATGGTAAATGACAGTCGGTGTGCTTCCGTGTCGATTCACAATGCCGATAAGAATTCAGCGGACGTAATGGTAAACGTTGTAAATAGGAAAACGGACAGGCAAAAGGGCGCAGTCAAATTTTGTAGAGTAAGCGTCATGTGATTCCGGCGTCACGTGTGCTCATTAGAACTCATTACTTTGTTATGCCTTTTTGAGGGTAATCAAAGCGCGGTTTTCAATCTCGGAGACCTTTTCCTGGGTAACACGCGTCCTTGTAATAAGAAATTGATATTGCTGTGCGCAAACAACTTCGCTAAATTGTCTTATAATTAAGTCGATTTGGTGGGCGGAATTAATTAATTTTCCGAAGGGTCACCATTTCAATTTTCGCGTTAAAGACATTTTCCGGGTTTTTCATTTAATTTTTTGCCGTTTTTTATTTGGCTCGTTATTTGCACGTTGCTTCGATGCGCGTTCTTTTGTTTTCTCATTGTTTTTTATTTGTAACGAAATGTAACTAATTCTCAAAGTAACAAAAAAAAAATATTGTAAATAGACGAATCTATCGAGGCTTTGATGGTTATTGTTTTCACTTTTATTTTGTTCTTTTATTTTATATTGCTGTTAAATAATTATATTACATGAATCATTGGTTTACACTGACCGAAATCTAAATTTGTAAATACAACTTTTAATAGCCTTTTGATTTATTTTTAATTTTATCTAGTATTCTCTTTTCTTTATAGCTGCATTATGTTGATTGTTTTCTCATGGAACGGCAAAACGATATTCGATGCGATTGTTTTGCCTATTTTTGTATTTGTACAAAAAGCAGAGAGAACCAAATCGTATCAGATACTGACGAAAAAAAACGATCTATGTTTTCACGTGAGTATAAAAAGGTATAAATTTTAAATTATATTTCAACTAAATCATGTAGAAATATTTATTGAGTTAACAATGTGTGCTTGCCCACAAATAACAGACAGATTGGAAATTTATTTGGAAAAACATATTTTTAGCGCCATTCGCCAGTAGTTTATCAGAAAATTGTATTTTTATATGAAAAAATATGTGCCATGTTCAATTTGCTCCAATATCGTTTATCTGTGAATTGTCCGCTTTGTTTAATAGCACAAAAAATGGTCTCAAAACGACTGTCTTGATACAATTATCAAATCGTAACCAATAATACAAGAAAATATTTTGATTCTATTTTAAAATACTGAATGAAGAGCTTATTAAGCTAATTCGACTTAGCAAAGAGACCACTTACAAATTCAATTTATTTTGAACAATATACATTCTATAACTTGGTGTGTCTCGGATTTTATGTCCCTAATAGGATCACAGCATTAAAATCGGCACTAAAATCAGTCAAGCGGCAATAGGCAGAGAGACTGTAGAAATAAGTTGTTTTGTACAGCCACCTCAATATTACGTGAAATTAGAGAAATGTAAAAACTATGTAAATAGACACAGAAAATATTAACAAAAACGCACACCTTAAATGAAAACAATACTTCCTATTCCTAAGATTTAAATTGGCAATATACCCAATAAGCAATTGAAAACGTAGTAGTCATTATTAATGATGCGATGGAACCAGAACACCATTTAGGCATCAAAATCTCTTTCGTTTAGGATTTTAAGACACTATATTATATATTAGTGTTAATTGAGCAAAATTAACTATGCTTAACT